ACCCAGGTGACCCTCTCTGTGTCAGCTTTAAAGTGCTCAGTGCAAGCAAATGGCACGAATGCACAAGCAGCTGCAGAGCAGCTGGGAGATCTGCAGGGAGCAGCTTAGCTCCACCAGCTATTGCCTGCCCTGTGGCCAGGGCAGTGGTCCAGCCCCGGTGGGATGCTGCCCCACAGCTGCTGTGGGATGCAGAGGGCATGTTCAAGGTTCTGCATAGCCTTGCAGGAGAAGTGTGGCTGCTGGGCAGAGAGCTGCGGGAGCTGGAGCAGATGCTGTGCGGGGCAGCGGGCTGTGTAGGCAAGCACAGCCTGAATTAGGAGAGGAAATGGGAGCAATTGGCACGTGTGGGCTGGCAGGAGAAAGGCTGCGAGGGGATGGGATTGCTGTTTATAAATACATCAAGGGAGTAAACACAAGGGAGGGAAGAGAGCTATTTGAGCTGAGGGACAATGCTGGCGTGAGAACAAATGGTACAAACTGGCCATGAATAAATTTAGGTTGGAAATGAGGAGATCAGTGAGGAGCTGGGACTGACCGCTGAACCCCCCTACCCTCCTCCCCCCCCACGAGGGGAAGGAGGGAAAGAACAACACTGAGATGGCACTCATTGCACTGATGAAGGCAGCTGTGTGCTGGCACTGAGGACCACAGGTCCCAGCCCCTAGCCTCAGTGTCGCATCCACCCTGGCACCGGTGGTGTGGCCCCTTGGGGTGGTGGTTTGTGGGAAGGGCTCCACACAAGTGCGGGTGCCCCAGCAGCTCTGCCAGCTGACAGCACAGCTGAGCACTTGGTATTCCGGCCACGAGCCCACTTGGCACCAGCGGGGCTGCACCAGCCCCAACTCCCACGTCTTTGCATTGGCTCAGCTGGCCCTGCGCAGAGCAGCACATCTGTGTGAGGAGGTAGCAGGAGGGGTCCCGGCCCCTCCAGGATGTGCCCTTGTTTCAGGGACATCTGATGCAATTTGGAATGCTGTGGAGGATGCTCCAGAGCATCCCTTTGCAGAGCCCAGCTTGGTGCTGGTGTACCCTGCTTGGAGCCAGTGCTACTCTGCTGTCCCAGCACTGTGTCTCAGAGCCCAATGGAGGTGTGAGTCCCTTCCCCAAGTAGGGCTGAATCCAGCAGGAGCCATCCCTGCTGCCAGCATCAGCCCTGCACGGGAAGGGGCACATTGCAGAGGGCTGCAAGTATAGGAGACAATTGCACCGGTGCTGAAGCTGGGATAAAGCCAAGTTGGCACTGGTCCCCATCCCTCCAGAGAGCGGGGAAGGGAAATGGTGCGACCATGCATGAGAGGGGACGTTTGCAAAGGCAAAAACATCCCACTGGCTCAGAAAATTGCTGCAGAATCGGGCTTGAAATGAGTTGAAATTGCTGAATCCAAGCAGATCTCATATCCTGGGCAGTTGCAATGCTGGCGTCAGCGCTACGGTTTCCCTCTCTGGGCACCCAGGCGGGAACTGTCAGCTCTGTGCAAGGGGTGGGATGCTGGGGACACAACTGAGGGCTCTGGGCAGTGGGGGGGGCTGGTGAGGGGCTCCAGTAGGGCCGGTGCTGCAGTGTTTCAGGGGGGCAATAGCAGAGTGGGAGGCAGCATCTAAGGAGATGGCATCACCCCAGCTCTGCCCACATCATCTAGAGGACACCCCTGGATGGCCAACCCCTGATCACCAACCCCTCCATTCCCAGGGCAGCAGCACTCCGGTCTTCTGTCCCCAACCCATGGTGCCCTGGTGATCTCTGGGTCCAGCGGGTGCCCGTGTCCTACAGCTATATGTTCCAGCAGGGACACAAGACAGGGCTGTATGTCCTGGGATGCAGGAGCAGGACCTGCCCGTACCACACATGCTGCAGCTCATTTTCCTCACATGCAAACATTTGGCTGGAAGCTTAGTGCGGCCTCTTGTCTCTGCAGAGCAATCAGGATTTGTCGCTGCTTGCAATGTTTAATGTCGTCTTCCAGAGGCTAAATACCATGGGGAGCCGTGTAAGCTGCAGAAATACCTGCGTGAGCTGGGATCAGCTGGAGGCAGACACAATGGGCTTGTCATGGCGGGGATAGGGGGGTTTGGGGATGTGTGGGGCCAACCCTTGTGCTCCCCTGTCAGAGGAAACTTCAGTGCTAGCAAGTGGGCTGGGGTGAGGATGTTGAGGGCCGGCATCCACAGGCTGCCCAGCACCAGGGGAGCAGGACAGGGAACTCTTTGGGGTGGGATGAGGATGTGGAGGTCCCAGCACTGCCTGGGGTGGGAGAAGGAAGCTTCAGCCCCTGAGTGGCAGCGATCTCTGGCTGGGATCTGCCTGCTGCGGCGCCAGCAGCTATTTCTGTCAAGGTCAAAGTGTCTCCACGGCAGAGAGCAGGGAAATGAGGAATCGTGTTGAGAAATTACCTCCCTAATGGGGTCTCCCCTACGTGGGGATGCCTGTGTGTGGCAGCTGAGCAGGCAGACCATGAGGTGATACGGGAGCCCTGCTCCCAGCCCTGAGGCCTGCAGCACCCATGGGTGCCCTCTGAGAGGAACAGGGTGGCCAGGGGGCCACGTCCCAGCAGAACACATGCGTTCCACCCCGCGAGGCACTTTTCTGGGTCAGCTGCGGGGAGAAAATCATCTTCCCTTCTCCTCTCTCCTTCCTCTCCTCCTCCTCCTTCTCCTCCTCTCGCACTCCCTGTTATCTAATTGGGTTTGTCATGCTGGAAAGCCAAAGCCCTTCAGGACTGTGCTGTGCTCTCGCCAGCGAGATTTCACAGCTGTCCTCAGCACCCCAGCAGCCGACAAGTGAGTAACTCAGCTGTGAGCTGTGGGCACCCCTGCCTGCCCTCCGCACCAGTGGCTGTGCCTGCCTGCCTGTGGCTGCAGTGGACGGGGGATGAAGCCACTGCCACGTCCAGGTCTTTTCTGCTCTGCCCAGCCCCGTCTGTGTCCCTGGGGTCACCTGTCCCCATGTGCCCTGCCTCTGCGTCCTGCCGCATCCCTCACCCTGCTGCAGGGTAATGGTGATGCTGTTCGCAGATGTCTGAGCTGACACGAGATGGAAGCACTCAGAGAAATGACATTTCCTCTAGCTGGGGAAGCTCATCCTCCGTTTAACGAAAACTAATATAAAAGCTGCCCTGGTGTGTGCAGGGCTGATGCTATCGGGCCGGCAGCCTCCAGCACTCAGAGCCGCAATCAATCTCAGCAAGGAGTCGAGCTCTGGCAGCCCCACACGGAGGCACTGGCACAAGCCCCAGGAGCGGGGGCACACGCGGGCAGCTCCCCTGGGCTGGGGTGAGGCTCCAGGCTGTCCCGAAGGTGCCAAGGGCAGGGAGCCTATAGCACAGAGGACCCAAGGCAGCGCTGCGCTTGGCAGAGGCCTCACGTGCCATGGGGCAGGCTGCTCTCCACTGCTGCCTGTGGGGCTGGGACAAGGTCCTTACTCCCGGCCCGGCGCGGCCCGGCCTCGGAGCTCGCCCAAAGCCTGGCCGAGGCCTGCCCCCGCCCTGCTCCGGGCCTGCTCCGGGCCGGGCCGTGCCCAGCCTTGAGCCGGCGGGGCCCGGCCTGGCGCGGCGCCCTGCTGCCCCCTGGCGGATCCCGGCCCCGCGGGCCCCGGTGCGGGCTGCCGGGAGAGCGGAGGCTGCGGGGAGCGCTTTGAAGCGGCCTGACGAGCTGTCGGGGCCCTGCCGACAGCCGGCGTGCCTCCCCCCGCCGCCACCGCGCTCTGATCACCGCCGCAGCCGTCACTTCAAAGCGCCCGCCGGGCTCGGGAGGGCTCCCACGCAGCACCGGGCCCACGACGCAGCCCCACGGGGACGGAGGGCGATGGGGCGCCGGGGGAGCCGGGGACCGCGGTGGGGAGTGGGGCCACACACGGTGATGGTCCCCTCAGGCCTGGCAGCGTGCAGCCAGCTCAGGGCAGGGGCTCCCAGCCCCACAGCCGCTTTGCCCCACATCGGCTGGGCGCCCCTGGCGGTGCGTGCAGGACCCTGGGCCAGAGAGCGGGGAGGGGTGCGCTGGGCTGCAGCTTCTCTGGGCGAGGAGCTGGACGTGGCATCCCCGTGCCCCTGTCCTGGGACACCCAGCCTGGGGTAGCACCGTGTTACCCCAACCCCCAGCCCGACTTGGGGAGGAATTTTCCATTCCCAAATCGAGGTTGGGGAAGGCGTGCGTCGGCACCAGCCCCCTCCTCTCCCTCCCCTCGCCCGTCACAGCTCAGGAAGGCGCCTGCCACATTCGGCTGTGGGAAGGTGCCGAGCAAAAGGCTCCCGAGAGAGAGACGGTGAGCGGGGCTGTAGGGTGGGCACGCAGGATCTGTCCTGACCACAGCCATGCCGCTGCCCCTATCCTGCTGCCCGGATGGAGAAGCCCTGGCACCGGCACAGGATGGCTTCCTGCGTGCCACCCGCATCCCAGGGCTGCACTACATGGGCACACGGCCACAGTCCCGCCTGCGCCGCCTGCTCTGGGGCCTGGCCTTCTTGGCCTCTGCAGGGCTGCTGGCCACTGGGGCCACCGACCGCCTGCACCACTTGCTCTCGCACCCCGTGCACACGCGGGCACGCCTGGCCAGAGTGCCCCAGCTCCGCTTCCCGGCTGTCACTCTCTGCAACCCGAACCGGGCACGCTTCCTGCATCTCACCAAGCCCGACCTGTACTCAGTGGGGCAGTGGTTGGGGCTCTCTCGGGAGGACCGCTCGCTGGTGCCTGAGCTGCTGGCCATGCTGGGGGATGAGCAGCGCCGCTGGCTCACACGCCTTGCCAACTACTCACGCTTCCTGCCACCCCGTCGCTCCGAGCGCACCATGCAGAGCTTTTTCCACCGCCTGAGCCATCAGATAGAAGACATGCTGGTGGAGTGTCGCTTCCAGGGCGAGCGCTGTGGCCCGCAGCACTTCACCCCTGTGAGTCCCTGCCTCACACCAGCCTGCATCCAAGGGACTGATGCATCCTATAAAGAGGGCAATGGATGTTACCCTGCTTGCAGAAGGCTCTTCACCATCCCTCTCCATCTCCATCTTCAGGTCTATACACGTTACGGCAAGTGCTACACCTTCAATGGGGACCGGAGGAACCCTCGAGTGACCCGCCAGGGTGGCATGGGCAACGGGCTGGAGATCATGCTGGACATCCAGCAGGAGGAATACCTGCCCATCTGGAGGGAGACCAGTGAGTGGGGCTGCGGGTGAGCCGGACACTGGGGGTGCTGGGTTGTACAGGGGTGCGGCTGAGGGTTGTGCTGTGGGCAGGCATGCAGCCCTGGGACAGGGCTGGCTGCCCGCTCTCCCTTTCCATCTCCCACAGATGAGACATCTTTCGAAGCTGGCATCCGTGTCCAGATCCACAGCCAGGATGAGCCGCCCTACATCCATCAGCTGGGCTTCGGTGTCTCACCCGGCTTCCAGACGTTCGTGTCCTGCCAGGAACAGCGGGTAAGTAGGGATCAGAGGGCTGGTATGAGGCTGAGCTGGTGTGGAGCCAAGTGGGAGGGCAGCTGGGCAGTGCCATTCGTGGAGATGCCACTTCTCCCCATGAAACTCCAACTTCTGCTGGGTGGTGCATGATGCCCCACAGCCCCCAGGGAAGCACCCCCAGCACCCAGCAGCATTTGTCGCTGCAATGGTATCCTTTCATCCTGGCAGCTCACCTACCTGCCGCAGCCATGGGGGAACTGCCGGGCCAGTGTGCAGGGAGAGCAGACACTGCCTGGCTACGATACCTACAGCATTGCTGCCTGCCGCCTGCAGTGTGAGAAGGAGGCTGTGGTGCGGAGCTGCCACTGCCGCATGGTCCACATGCCAGGTGAGGGGTGTGCCTGCTGGTGGGGAGCTCCCCAACACCCTCCTCCTCCTTCCCAGGGCTGCCTCTTCCAGCCTGCACCCAATGGCCACTGCAGCCAAGGGTCACTCCTTTCCCATCCTGCACCCAAGGCTCACCCCATCTCTCTGCAACCCTTAGCCCCTTCCCAGTCTGCCCCACATCTTTAGGGGAGTGAGCATAGAAGAGGGGGATCAGATTCCCAACCCCTGACCCGCTGCTTCTCCACAGGCAATGAGTCCATCTGCTCTCCCAATGTGTACATCGAGTGTGCTGACCACACGCTGGGTAGGTTTGGGGGGTGGGCAGGAGATTAGGTGAGCCGGGGGAGATCAGGGGGTGCAGCTGTGCCCAGCATTGCACGCCTCCAGATGCAGCAGTGGAGGACAGCCAGGAGCGCTGCAGCTGCCCCACACCATGCAACCTGACCCGCTACGGCAAGGAGATCTCCATGGTGCGCATCCCCAACAAGGGCTCGGCACGCTACCTAGCCCGAAAGTACAACAAGAATGAGACCTACATTCGGTGAGCTGCTGCGGGCAGGAGGGGGACTGGGGTGACTCTCAGAGGCTTGTGGGGACAAGGGATTCTAGGAATCCGGGATACCCCCACCCTGCTCCTGGCAGTTTGTGTAGGCCAGGTCTTGGTACATGCAGTCCCCCACCTCTCTCCAAGGTGGTTGTGATGTCCTCCCTGGTGTCCTCCCTGCCTGCATGTCCCCACCCCACAGTCCCACCCAGTCCAGGACATGTCCCTTCCCCACCATAACCGGTGTCCTATAAATCCAGCCTAAATAACACACCAGGAAGCTCTAAGGGGTGGGTTGGAGAGGGGCCCAGGGGAGTCTGGGCTCAGTGGTGGTAGGTGGGCTGGTGACAGCCATGGTGTCCCCACAGGGAGAACTTCCTGGTGCTGGACATCTTCTTCGAGGCACTCAACTATGAGGCCATTGAGCAGAAGAAAGCCTACGACCTTGCTGGGCTTCTCGGTGACTCCCCAGCCTTTCCTCAGGACCCACTTCATGGCTGGCTATCCCTCATCCTGCACACACCTGCTCCCTCCATCCTGCAGTCCCTGATCCCATCACCATGCTGTCCCGTGCCATCCTGCAGCCCTGACACCATGCTGTCCCCCTCCATCCTGCTGCCCTGGCACTGCTGTCTGGCCTCAACCCCAATGGCTTTGCTCAGGCTGTGCAGCAGCTGCTGGTGACCAGTTCTCTCTCTTCCTCCCCAGGGGACATCGGGGGGCAGATGGGCCTGTTCATCGGCGCTAGCATCCTTACCATCCTGGAGATCCTGGACTACATTTATGAGGTGCTCTGAGTCCTCAAAGGAGCATGGTGCCAAGCAGGGGCGAGACTCTCTGGGGAGAAGTGCCATGCCACCCCAGAGGGCCGTCTACCTACAGCTCCCAAACTAGGGAACTCCCAGCAGGAGGCGGTGGGAGGAGGATGGGTCTCCTGGCATCCCTCAGATGGATGCAGGCAGAGATGCTGTACCCAGCATCACCTCATGTCCCTGGGCCAGCAGTGACCGTGAGGCAGGCCCATGCAGACTGGGTTGCTCCCATAGGGTCTGTGGGTGCCCCAAGGCTGACCCCCTTCTGCCCCCAGGTGATCCGCGACAGGGTGAGTCGTGTCCTGCGGCGCTCCAAGCCACCTCTGAAGAAGCCCTCGGGGAGCATTGCCACGCTGGGGCTGGAGGAGCTCAAAGACCAGGTACTGGGGACATGAGCAGCTTCATGGGAAAGGGACATCACTCCCAGGAGCCAGGGAGCTTGATGGCCTCAGGCTGCTGAGCCAGGCTGAAATGGGGGAATTAATGGGGACAGGCAGGATCCCCACTGACGCTGCCATCCCTGCAGAGCCCCTGTGAGACACTGGGCCGGCACGTGGAGGGCACCTACAATGCGGGCATCCTGCCCAACCACCACCACCGTCACCACTACCCTCACCAGGGCGTCTTCGAGGACTTCGCCTGCTAGGCCAGCTGGGGTCAGGGGGTTCCAGCTGGGGTTCCCCATCCCTTGCAGCCCCATCCTCATGGAGAGGGATTGTGGCCCTGGGACCGGCACTGTTGCTGCCCCCAGCCCCTTTGTCCAGCCCCTCCGCTTGCCCTGTCTCAAGCACACAGAGTTGGGGGGCTGCCCCACCAGCCAGCAGCAGAAGTGGCCTCACACCCTTGGCTGCCTGCAGAAGCAGACCAGCAAGGGGCAAGGACAGGCACACTAGGAGGGATTGGGGGAGCAGGGGGCCCCCCGCAAGGCAGCACGTGCAAGGGGTGAGCTGGATTTCCTGCAAACCCCTCCAAAACCCTTCCCACTGACCTCTCCTGAGGGGGGTCTCTGCCCTACACTGTCCCCCCAGGACCACTCATCCCCTCCCAGAGAATGTCGCCATCCTGCTGCAGGTTAGGCAGGGCCGGAGGACACCCACCTGCAGTTTCACCTGCATGGCACCACCCTGCCACCCATCTGGCCCCTGGCACCACCACCACTGTGACACCCCCCAGACATCTCCCCACCTTGCCCCAGTCCCACATAGCCTGCCAGGGCTGAGGTTCCCTCCCCACTGCTACTCCCAGCTAGACCCCTGCACTGTGACTTCCCACACTCCTGTGTTAGCCCTGCAAAATGACTGTCTGCCCCAAATTCTCTCCTCCCATTCCCCCACATCCCATGTATTGCCCAAAGCAGATTGTCCCAGGTGCAGTTCCCTGGCATGCCCAGGCAGTGTTGAGGCACCTGTCCTTGCTACCCAACTGTTGCAGCTCTTCTGCACCATGCACGTATCCCTGCCACCTTCCTCCCCCCAGGTGCCAAGCACCCACTGTGCCTCCCCCAGACTGTATACAGATAGGAGGGTGCCCTGCACCCAGTCCTCCTGCTGCCAGGGGGTGGCAGGGCCTCAGCAGGACCCCTGGCACCTCAATTCCCATAGGACATTGCCTCCCCCTCCACTGTAGCAGACACCAGCGCAGGGCAAACAGCCCCAAAATATCTCAGGAGGGGGGGGGCGGGCTAACAAAGCCCCCCTCAAGACGCACATGTGGCAGAGAATCCCCATGGCAGGAATTGGTGATCTCAGGGGGAGGCTGGCTGGGACTGGTCCCTGTCCCCAGTACCCGGAGACCTGAGTGGGCACAGCCATGCCGTGGCCAAAGCCATAGTTGCAGGAGGAGTCCTATGTGTGGGGCATGGGACATAGGGTACAGGGACCAGGGCATCTGCATGGCCCGGTGTCCCTGCAAATACACCCACACTTGGAACTGTTTTTTCCAATGGTGCAAACATTGTGGGTACCCAACATTCCTACACAGGGGCATGCAAAAACAACCCCTAAGTAGGGCATGCACAGTGTGCACCTGGAGGGTCCTGGTGCCCATGGGGCTGTGGCATGTATGGTGTAGGTCCCCAGCCCCAGGGAGTGCCCCCATCCCCCATGCCCACCACCTCCTCCTGCACCATCATCTGGGCACAAGCAGCAGCATCTCCACGGTGCCACGTGGGCAGGAGGGCACCCAGTGCTGTGTGCAGGCTGTGGCCCCCTCCCTTCCAATAGGAGCAAGCCCTGGAAGGGGTGGGCATGGGCACCACGGTGGGAGGGGACCATTGGAGGTGTGCGTCATTGTTTTATAAATGTACAAAAGCTCCCTAATAAAGAGGCACAAGTAGGTCTAGAGCTGTCTGCATGACTGGGGGGTACAGAGGTGGGGGGAGGTCAATGTCGCTGCCCTGTCATCCCCAAAATGAGGAGTTGTGTGTGCCAGCACCCAAATTGTCTGGGCTGGGCTGGAGCACAGTGGGCAGGGCAGCACTCAGCTGGGCTCTATCGGCCTCATGCAGGCACCGCTGGGGGGAGGGCTGTGCTCTCCCTACCCCAGGAGCTGCCAAGAGCCCATAGGGGAACCAGAAAGGGCAGAACTGAGGGTTGGGGACTACAGCAAGTGCTCCCCATGCTATCACTGCACCCTCTACCCCAACGCATGGCCAGGGCTCCCCAATAGTCACTCGGTGTTGGGGTGCCCCAGCAGCAATGCTGATGACCACTGGATCCCAGGCGTCTTATCAGCACCAGACACAGTTCCTATCAGCGTGTCACTGCTGCCTGCTGTGCCACTGCCCTCACGCCACGCTGCTGGCCGCTGCTTCTCCACCAACCATCCCCCAGCTGGGGCACTGCACGGGTCAGGTTGGTGGGACTCCCGGGCATTGGTGGAACCTGGAGGTGGGAGGTGGAGGGTGAGGGCTGGAAGCTGAGAGCTGGGCTGGAGGGTGAGGGTAAAGGGGGAGTCTCCATGCTCCAGGCCATCTGCAGCACAGGGAGGTGCCCTGCCCCGCTGCCCCGCAGGATGTCCCAGCACAAAGCCACCCTGATCCACACCAAGGTGGTGACGGGCAGCTGGTGCTGTGTGCTGTCCCGCTGTGAGGATGTGTCAGAGGAGCTGAGCGAGGAGGAGTGCAGCATTGCCCGGCGGGCGCAGCGCATGGCACTGGAGGTGCTGGAGGATGCACTACACAAGGACCGCCTGCTGATGAAGAACCTGAAGGATGTGGTGGTGCTGACGGGGGAGGGAGGAGAAGGCTGGGTGGAGCGTTACGCCATGCTGACTGAGCGGCTGCTGCAGAGCCTCATTGCACAGCTCCAGCAGGCAGCCTTCCTCAAGAACCCACGCAAGGCCGGCTCCTATGCCTACGTCAAGAAGAATGCATGGGACCGCACCATCTACCTGTGCCCGCTCTTCTGGCAGGCGCCCAGTGAGCTGCAGAAGGACTCGCAGCCCGGCACGCTGATCCACGAGGCCTCGCACTTCCTGGGCCTGCACGACATCACTTATGCCACGGCCAGCTTCAGGGCGGGTGGCGGCGGCACGGCCATCTGCACAGACGGGCACATGCCCCTCTCCGAGACCCTGCGGAAGGCGCTGCTCAATGCCAACAGCATCGAGTATGAGTTTGAGATTGTGCTGAGGCACCGGCAGCCCTATCAGGGTGGCTGCTATGCCTGCTGCGGGGAGACGGCACGTAACTCAGTCTGCGAGAATGCACTGCCCTGGAATGGGCTGGCCTGCGGGCCCCAGAGGTGAGCGTGGCCCAGGATTGGGGCGGTGGGTGGGAAAGGCTTCACAGCCACATCCCCAGAGCTAACAGCCCCCTGTCCTGCTCAGCACGGCTACCAGCACCATCGGGGACGTGGTGCAGCTGGCCCTGCTGCCCACCCGAGATGCCATGCGGAGATGCCTGTGGGACATGCGAAGAGTGGCAGAGGCCCTGGGCCAGTGCCAGCGGGCCGTGCTGGTGGCCAACATCACCGGTGGGGTGGTGAGTGTGGCAGGGGGGGTGGCAGCCATAGCCGGGCTGCTGCTGGCTCCTGCTGCACTGGGTAATGCACTGCTGTTGGCGGCCGTGGGTTTTGGTGTCACCACAGCTGGGATCATCACCAGTGCTGTTGCCACCATCAGCAGCAGCGTGGGCTGCCTGGTGAGGAAGGGTGAGGCTGAGATGCTGCTGGAGAAGTTTGCGGCACAGGCACAGGTGTTCACGGGCTGCCAGGAGGCTGTGGAGAGGGTGCGGAGGCTGCTGGAGGCCCTGGGGCAGGAGGAGAGCCTGGATGTCATCCTGAGGGTGTTTCAGGTGGTGGTGGGGCTTGGGCGCAGCGTCTTCAATGGCAGCAGCGCTCTCAGAGTCAGCACAGTGCTGGCAGGGACCAGCAATGCTACCGGTCTTGCTGGGACGGCCTCCTGTGTCCTGCTTGGCCTCTGCCTGGTCCTGGACATCTTCTTCATTACCAAGGACTCAGCACACCTGCACAGTGGTGCACACTTGGAGCTGGCGGGGAGAATCCATGCAGCCACAGCCATGCTGGAAAGGGAGTTTGGTGCCATTGATGAGTTCTGCGAGAAAATCAGGCTGATCCTGGAGGAGCAGGAGTGAAGGCTGGCACGGGGCTGATTCCCACACTTGGTGCTCCTGCCCAGCTGCTGGCGACAATGGGAGCCCTTCAGCAGCTTTGAGTGTGCACAGATTTCCAGTAAAGCTATTGTACTTGCTGTCATCAGCACTCCTCTCTTTTAAATCTGTTGCACCCTAAAGGGCACAAGGCAGGCCCAGAGCTTACCACCTGGACACCACCCCCTGCCACATTCCCACCACCCACTGCCTCTCCCACAGGCGTTGCTGGCCCCTGTGGCTGCTCCTTGCCTGCACTCTGCCAAGGTTCAAAGTGCTCCCAGTTCTCCACACCCTGTACTAATATAGTGCCCAGCAGCCACGTGCTGGGAGCACGTAGTGCCTTTTTGGAAGGCTGTGGTGAGGCAGCAACACCTTCAGAAAATCCCCTGGAGGAAAGCTGTGAGCAACAGAGAAGTGTGTTCTCCTGCCCTGTGTGTTGCTCTCTCTGCAATTGCATGCAAAAGTACAGTACACAAATGCGCCACTCATACATGAATGGGCAATTGCAAAAGTCTCTGTTTGCTCAATCGTCACAGCTCAGTGACAGCTCAGGGTTTGTTTTTTCAGCCAGCTTCACCTGATGCCAGCTTGCCGCATTTACATAGGATGTTCTGTCGGCTGATCAAACTGGGCTCCTCTCAGAATGAATGTATCTGTAACGCACCTGCACTGGCCTCGCTCCCTTCTGTCCCAGATTCAAATTTAAGGGGAATTAAGGATGTGCTCGGGGAAGATCAAAAATAGCAATATTCAGAGCCTGCTGATTGTTAGCATCCAAACTGTAACAGCCGTGCATTTACACACACGTGTCCCTACAGTGTGAATCCAAGGAGCAGAGCAGGAACACCTGTACGGCTGAGATAGGTTTCTTTGGGAAAGAATTGCTATAGAGCCTTGGGGGCTCCAGGGGTGTGCAGAGCACTCGTTCACTAAAAGTAAGTAGGTTTAGCTGATTTCCTTGGGGATTTCTTCTTTGATGCAGGAATTTCATGACCAATTGCTGAAAGCAGCTGCCCCAGAAAGTGCTACTGCTGCACTAAGTGTGGCCAGGTGCCTCAGGCAGCCCTGCTCTCTGCTCTACAAGCTATTGGAGCGCTTTGGGGAATCAATAAAGGATAGAAGCAACTCAGAGAGAGAAGGCCTGATGCTGACACCACAACTTCATCAGCACCCCAGTTTGGCCCCAGCAGAGCTGACACAGTCAGGAGGAGCAAGAATTTTGAGCACCAGGGACACCAAGGCACTGCTCTGGGAGGAAAGCAAAGCCATGGCTATCACCTTACAGCTCCCAGCCCAGATACAGGGGGCAGCCGGTCACCCAGTGCTGAAGTAAGTCAGCCCTCATCCTACAGTGGAGGGAATACAGTACTCACACACCTCACACAAGCAATATCCCTGGGCAAGAACCAGGCAGAGGCACTCGTTCATCTCTCTTTTATTAGTGTAAACATCCCCCCCCTCCTCTCCCCACTATTAAATACAAACCAGGAGCACGGAGCAGCTCCCTCAGTCGCTTTCTCCTTAGGAGATGCGTAGCCGAACCTCCCCTGGAGCCCAGCAGTCTAGGGAGGGATGGGAATGTTGGATACCACATTTCCCCCCAACCCAGACAAGCAGAGCCAGGGGGAACTCAGGGGTCAGCACGGCCTATAGGCCACAGCCCCGAGGCAGGGACGGCTCTTGTCGGAGGGCTGTGACCTCCGGCGTCCTATCGATACTGCGAAGGCCAAGGCGGCCCGGGTCAGGGTTCCCATGGGGAGCAGCTCACAGTATGGAAACACAGCAGGAGCCCTCCAGCACTTCCCAAAGCCCCAGGGCTACAGCTTACCTGCTGGCAGCCTGGAAGGCTCAAGCTTCTATTTCCTTGCCACGTGACATATGCTAAATCCAACCTCATTATTGCTTTGTTAGGGGCCCACCCCGCTGCTCCAGGCTGCAGCAACACAAGGACATAACCCTGCCCACAGCACAGGGCTGATGCTCCCTTTTGTCACAGGGTGCCTTGAGGACCTGGCCAAGGGAGTTGAATGAGCACCAGGCACAGCCCTGCATCATGGGGGGGCAAACAAGGAAGAGTGGGATCTGCCCCAGCCCCAGCTGGTCCCTCACAGCAGTCACAACTCTGCCACAGGGACTCAGTGTGGAGCGGTTCATGGGACAAAGCGAGGGCCTCCTCCCCACTGGGCCAGCAGTGAGCAAGGTGGCAGCAGGCAGTGCTGGGGTGAGGAGCTGGGATCCCAGCACGCAGCTCGGCAGCTACTGCCCAGCTTCACCCCATACTATGCAGCACTGCAGCTGCCCCGGGACCAGCCCAGGCTGGCAGGCAGCTCTGCTTAGGCAGCATTGGCAGCAGTAGTGACCGCCGTGCTGGAAGGAGGAAGACAGATTCAGGGCAGCAGATCAGGTAGGGTGGATGGTGAGCCAGGCAGGGCCAGCACCTCTGCGCCCCAGGTTCAGGTGCTGTTCCCCTGCTCCTGCTCAAAGAGTACCATGGCCAGCTGGGAGCGGGACCCAACACCCTCCAGACTGCTCTGCACACAGCGGTGGTAGATCTCCTCACTAAGCCGCGGGTTGCAGGCCTGGTGCCGGTAGTGCTGCAGCAGGGCGGGCTCCACAGCCCGGAAGACATGAAGGTTGGAGTACTTGATGAACATATCGTAGATGTCCAGGGTCTCCAGGATGTCCTCATTCTCCTGCACATCACCCGCCATGCGGGTGCGTGCTGCCATGTAGTCAGCATTGTAGAAGCAGGCCTCATGGAAGACATCACGGTCGAAGCGTCCTGCGTCTCGCAGGAGGTCCAGCGTGGCAGGCGGTGCCTGGTTGTGGTAGGCGACGGCAGGGTTGTAGCCCTGGAAGTGGATGGGGAAGAAGACCTGCCAGTTGTTGATGGTGTTCATACGGCAGCGGTTCAGGAAGTCAATGGTGACCTCTGTGCCCACACCGGCCACAAAGAACAACGTGTCCACAGGATGCTTCTTGGAGATGATGTCCATGACCTTGATTTGGGAGGGAGCATCTGTCTTAACGCTGATCCACGGGATCTTCACCTCAGCATACTTGCGTTCATACTCTGTGATCTGGGCCTTCACAGGGGCAAAGATATCATTCTGGGTCACCTGCTGGGCCTCGAATGGATCGTAGATGAATAGGAAGGTGAGCACTGCGTTCTCGCTGCTCTCGAAGGCAGCTGCCGCGTAGGCTTCCAGGAAGTGCGCAGCATGGTCCCGCTCGTGGGCAGTGAGTGGCAAGATGACATTGATACGGCTGGCCTCCGTCACATAGGGCATGGGGATGATCTCCACCTCGCTGAGGGGCCGCACCAGGTGCACGCGCTTGGTGACAGAGCGGCTGTGACCCTTCTGTGTGACAACCTCCACCTGCAGGTCCAGCGTGTACTCCATGCCACGTGTGGGGTCAAAGCGCCGGTAGCCATTCACTAGCTGCTGCTTGTGGACGTGCAGCACTGGCTGGTACTTTCGATTCAGCTCCTCCATGGCTGTGGCCACCACATCAGCCACGTCAGCTAGGTCTGCACCCTGCAACTCGCACTTGGGGGAGCCATCCACGCAGGCATAGACCTGATCCTCTGTGAAGTAGTCCCAGCGCAGCACCTCGAAGCGAGTTTTGGGCTGGAATGGAGGAGGGATGCCGACAGGCCACATGGCAATGTGGTCCCCGTCTGCAGACAGGCTGCTGGCATTCTGGATCTCGAGCTGCAAGGGGAGAAGCAGAGGAGTCAGAGCCCAGACGGGTGCAGGTACACCTGCCAGGTCACACTACAAACAGCTGATCCTACCTCAGAATGACTGCAGGTCTGAAGGCCCCCACATGAGGGCACAAAGGTGACCCTGACTGGAAAGTGACAGCAGAATAGCCCAGATCCTACCCAGCCAAGCCAGCTCTCACCTGGAGCTGCTGAATCTCCTGGTATGTCCTCTCCAGCTCCACTTGTGCAAAGTACTTATGCAACCGGTACATCTGGACAGGATCCAGCACAGGGTGGACAGTGAATGCACTCTGGAAATGGAGGTCAGTCTCCTGCTCAGGATCTACATTCTTCCCCAGCTCAAAATACTGGTAATGTAGGCCCTGTATGAGTAAGAGATGGGTTAGAGCTGACCCAGACCCACAACTCCACCCCACTGCATAAAAGCACAGGAGGCTTCAAGGAAAACAGAGCACAAGAGCCGGTCCTGTGGCCCTGGCAATCCATGGGGAGACACTGCCAGGAGCTCTGCTCTGTGTCAGCTCTGCTGCAGGACCTACCTCATGCTCCTCGGTGCAGCTTACTGCCGTGTGATCAATGATGCAGCGTCCCAGCCACTCGTCAGGCCGGGAGCTGAGGATGTCATTGCGGCAAGACTCCAGGTGCTGCTGCAGGCGCAGGAGGAGGCTGCGGGACAGCAGGTACCCAAAGCCTCCAGAGCAGTAGAGTCCCTCGGTGTCCCCACCAATGAACTCCTCGGGGCGGCCCAAGTAGAGATGGGTGTCAATGCTGAGGTGGGCCACCAGGCGGTTGATGCGGTACGCCTCAGTGTAGGTGTCATCCTGCACCAGGAAGAACCAGTCGAAGTCATTGACGCAGTGCTCCAGCAGGTACCGGATGGTCTGGTACATGTTCCAGATAGGCCGCTCATCGCCGTGGGTCACCACCATCATGCCGTGGGGCACCTTGCGGCCCCGTGTGCCCGTGAAGTACACCAGGCGCTCCAGGCGGTGCGCCAGCGTGCGGTTCACGGCCACCGCCAATGTGCCCAGCGTGCTCTTGGAGGTCAGCACACCCACGAAGAGCCGCTGCCGCATTCCCAGCTCCGTGCTGATGTAGCGAGTCCTGCAGGAGGGACAGAACCTGAGCCCACAGTGCCAGCGCTGGGCCGCGTGTGAGCGCAGCCAGAACCCAGCTGCTGGAACCATGGGGGCAAAATCCCCATCCCACAGCCGCCCCCAGCTGCCGCTCTCACAATGCTTTCCAGGTTGAATCCTTCCAGCCGGCCCCCAGGCAGGAAGCGACCCCCCCGTGGCTCCCACGCTCACACACTGGCCCCATTCAGCCCCACGGCTCCCCCCACCCGCCCGCCCACCTCCCGTCAGGGGACAAGGAGGGCCTTTCAGAGCTCGAGCTCGCTCCGTGCCATCGGTGGGGCGAGGGCTGGGGACACCAGGGTGTCGGGGGGGGGCGGGGAACGGGGAGCGGCAGGGCAGGCAGGGCTGGGACGGAGCAACAGGGACAGGAGGTCAGGAGGAAAAGAAACAGCAGGAAGACGCCCTGCAGCAGCCCACGGGGCAGCGAGCAAAGGGCAGCACAGCCCGGGGAAGGCAGGCGGGAGGCGGCCGCCCCGCCCGACCCCTCCGCTCGCACCCGCCGAGCCTCGCCCCGCACCCGCCGCCCCCGCCCCGCACCTGACGGCCTTCTTGGCGGCCCTGCCGGGGCTGGGCGGCCGGTAGGGCACGACGCGCGGCTCCCAGCTGTCGGCGCCCAGCCCGCCGGGCACGGCGTTGGGCCTGCGCGCCGCGTTGCCGTTGTGCAGCGCCCCGGCCGGGGGGCCTCCCGGAGAGCCGTCGGAGGGCGGCGGGCGGGCGGCGGGGCGCGGCGGCGACCCGCAAGGCTCCTCCACCCAGGTGACGCTGAGCAGACTGAGCGTGAAGCCCAGAGACACGCCGATGGCCACCGGGCCGGCGGGCCGCAGCACCGACAGCACCAGCGACAGCCGCATGGCCGCGCGGCTCCGGGAGCGGACGGGACGGACGGGAGCGGCGGGGGCGGCTCCCGCTACCCGCTCGCGGCGCCGCCGTCCGACGTGTCACCCCCGGGCTCCGCCCCCGACGTAACGGAGGGGAGCCAATGGGAGGCGTCCGCGTGGTGACGTCACGGCGCGGCGCGGCAGAGAGAGGGAAAGGGGCGGCGTGGGGGCGGGGCGCGGTTGCTAGGACACCGCGCGGCCTAGCGCCAGGCCCGGCCCCGCCGCGCTGCGGGGAGGCCCTGCGGGAGGCGGGCGGGCAGCCAGCGGCTCGGGGCGCCGCGGGACCGTGCTGCGGCATGCTTGGGCCGGAAAAGCGTTCCCAATTAAGGAGCAATTAAGACCTCGAGCCTTTAGGAGCCCCGCGAGGCCGAGCTTCGCGCAGGGCCTGGCCAAGTGCTCCGCAGCCATCAGCCCCGGTGCCCGGGGCCCCACGTGAGCAACGGGGGACTGCTTAGGAACGGGGGAAGGGCCGCTCGGCCGCAGAGCCCGTCCCATCCCCTCCGCGCGCTGGGGCACAGCAAGGGGCCGAGGCTGCAGGGTCCCGCTCAGGCCCCGCTGTGTGAGGGAGCAGCTGGCAGTCACGCAGAATGTGGGACAGTTGTCCAAATGCAGCCCATTCAGAGGCTTTCTTCTGAATAGGCGAGAAAGTGGAATAGGCAGAGGCGGTCACATGGAGAGCAGTTTTATAGAGGTGCCAGAAGGGGAAACATGCAAAAGAAAGAAACGAGCGGAGATTTTCCATGGAAAACGGCCAGAAAGCAAATGGGATCATAAACAGCCAAAGTTGCCTTTGTTTTCTGTATGCACAGAAACGCGACAGAAATAGATACATTTGATTTCCTTCCCAAACGCAAATATTTAACGTTGATCACCTTACACAAACACAAATAATTCTACACTTGCGATAGAAAGAGGCACTTGGCTCTGAAAGTGCTCTCATTGGCCTGGGCTCGAATTCAAACACAGGAAGGGACCGGAAACAGCACCAATTCTTCAGAGCCACGACACAGAGCTCTGAAAGCCGAACTGAGACAAAGCGGTGTCAGAACGAGGCCCTGTAGCAGCACCCCCCACCCCCGCAGCCCATCGAGGTAGCAGCCAAACCGAGGGCCCTGAGCATGGTCCCGACGAGCTCTGAGGCAAAGCAGTCCCCTGGTCGTGGCACTACTGCCCGGGCAGTCCTGGCAGCTGCAGCTCTGGGCTTTGTCTCAGGCTGGCGTGGGGCTGCTGGGGGCTGCCAGGGGAACGGTGCCTCTGCCAAGAGCCTGCTTCCTGCCAGGAGGGGCCGTGCCTGGGGGCTCTGAGAGCTACAGCTGGGAGATGCAAGCCAGGGGAATTCTGCCTCTGCAGAGCTGCTGGTCGTTCCGTTTACCCAGCCTATTGCCTGGGTGAGCAGCAGCTGCAGGTTGCTGATGCGTGCCCCAGGGCTCTCTGTAGCACGCAGTCCGACACCTTGGTGCACAGCCCAACACATGCTGCAATTCACAACCCTAACGCACAGCCCAATATACTTCTGACGTCTGAATGCACACTCCGGCACACGTCCCTATACAGTCCGCAATGCAAGCCCTACTGAACAGCCAAGCGCATGCCCCAAAACTCAGCCCCACTGCACGTCCTGAGCGCGCCCCAACGCACTGCCCCAACACCACCCCCAGCGCCACCCCAGCCCCGCCCCGTAGCTGAAGCCCCGCCCCCTCCCCGAGCCCCCGCCCCCTTCCGGCGAGGCCCCGCCCCGGCGGCGCGGTGACGTCAGGCGGAGCTGTCCGCTCAGCACCGCGCCGCCACCATGCGCGGGGGCCGGGGCCGGGGCCGGGAGCGCCGGGCACCGCGGGGCCGCCGCCGCTGCGTGGCCGGGAGCGCAGGTATGGGGAGGGTGTCGCGCGGGGAGGACCGGGGCGAAGCAGCGAGGAACGCACGGAGCGCCGGCGGCGGGCGGGGCCTGGGAGTACCGCCGGCGGCGGGCGGGCGGGCGGCGGGCGGGGCCGCGGGCGCGGCCGGGGTTCGGGCGAGAGAGGGCCCCGCTCCCGCTGCGGGCCGGGGGGAGCCCCGCCGCCCCCGCCTCGAACAAAGAGCGAGGCGGAGCGGCCCGGCAGCCCTTGCGGCCGTCGCGTAGCAACGCCGCGCCGAGCCCGCCCCGCCGGGGGCCGGGGAGCGGGACGGGGCGGGAGGTGGGGGGGAGGGGGCCGGCGGAGCCGGGCCGGTGGGTGCGGGGCGCGGGCGGCGCCGGGCAGGGTGACCCCTGCTACCGCTAATAGGATCGGCGCGTGAGCGGCTTTGTGCGGAGCGTGGGGTAATCCGGGGCGGGACGCGGCGGCGGGGCCGCGGGGCCGCCCGATTGCGGGGGTACGGCGGCGGGGTTCGGCTGTAGGAGCGGTGCCGGAGTCCCGCGACCGGGCCCGGCGGCGCGGCGGCGGCGGGTGGCGGAGCGCCAATGAGCGGCGCGGCGCTCCCCTAGCAACAGAGCCGCGCCAATGGGCGCCCGCGGCCGCCCGCAGCGCTGCCCGCGCCCCGCAGCCCTTCCCCGGTCCGGCGTGGGCTCGGGGTAGCGCCGCTCCGTGCCCTCCTCGCGCCGTGCCCGCCCGCACCCCGCGCGGCATCGCCTCCCGGCGGGTAAAGTCCAATCCCGCTTAGCCTCCTCCCGAGGGCATAGGGGCTTAGCAGGCACCCGCCCCCCGGGATTAGGGGCTGCGCTCAGTCCGCCCCGCAGCCGCCGGCGGGCGGTTTGCAGCCGGCGGGGCGGTGGGGAGCGCTGGGGCGGCCCCCGGGGTGCATTTGTGCCGGGGATGGGGCACGCTGTGGTGGCATAATTACAGACCGGTAACGCTCGGGGGGAGGTTGCTTTGAGGCTGCTGTAACGTGGCACTCAGAAGGATAATCGGTGACATGATACGGGTCCCAAACAAACTGAGCCTGGAAGCATGTCCCAGGAACAAAGAGGTGTGGGACCAGCCCGCAGGTGGGAGCGGGCAGACAGAGGGCTTAATTGGGCTTAAGCCGGAGCTGGATCCGTCTTTGCAAGGGATTATGACCCCTCCGTCTGTGCAGGCACCGCAGGAGCAGGGCACCCCCCAGCCCCGTCCTGACCCCCGGGTCAGTGTGAGCAGGGCACAGGGTAGGGGCAGCAGCTCTCATCAGCCTTATGGGTCGGTGTGGGGGCCGGGTGGGGCACACGGACCTGCTTTCCATAAGGACACTGCAAGCTGGAACGGGGATGAAAAATAGCCAGAAATATGATTAGAGGATTGGCGAAAATGCCTTAGAGTACAAGCGTTAAGAGCTCAATCTGTTTAGCCTATAAAAATAGAAGATTGAGGGGTGACTTAATTACTGAGCATAATTACTTCCCAGGCAGAAAATGCCAGGTAGTGGCAGGCTCTCCCATCCAGCAGGGAAAGGCAGCAGGAGTGTCAGCAGCAGGAGATGAACGCTGCCCCTGCAGCTTTTGTCCACAGCCCAGCCGTGATGGAGCCATTTTCCCACGGATGGGTGCTGGGATTTGGGGCAATTGTCTGAGCTTGGCACGGAGCCTGGCTGGTATCTGGGCCAGGAGCATCACAGGGATGGGATGTGGGGCTGCAGCCTGCTTTGCAGTGGGATGGAGGATGGAGCGGCCCCAGCCAGGTGGGCACCACCTGCATTCCCTCTCTTCCCCCCTCTCTCTGCAGCCAGAGTCAGTGCCAGGGCACGGATTTGCCCACGAGCGATGGGACAAGAGCGAAGCTTTTGATGCCTCTCCCAGGACTCCCCAGAGCCATGACTGCAACTTTGCAGACGCTGCGCTTCAAGCTGCTGCCGCACGACACAGGCCAGGAGTGGGCGCACAGCTGCCAGCAGGAGATTGAGCGCCGCTACCAGGTGGTGCCCTCTGTGGTGTGTGCCATGTGCTGCCTCTTTGGGATCATCTACTGCTTCTTTGGTGAGCCAGGCTGGGGCATAGTAGCTAGAGAGTGAGCAGGAAGGGGGAAATAGGGGCTCCCGATGGCCATGCCTGCCGCTGACAGTGGTGGTCTCTCTGCAGGTTACCGCTGCTTCAAGGCTGTCATGTTCCTGACGGGACTGATGTTCGGCTCCATCATCATCTTCATGCTGTGCTACAAGGAACGGGTGCTGGACACGCAGCTGAGCGTGGAGGCGTCAGTGGGCATCGGGCTGGGCATCGGGGTGCTGTGCGGGCTGGTCACCATGCTGGTGCGCAGCGTCGGCCTCTTCATGGTAGGGCTGCTGCTAGGGCTGTTGCTGGCGGTGGCCACGCTGGTGGTGATGGAGCAGTTCTACCATCCATCCACAGTGTGGATCCCCATCGCGCTGCTGCTGGGTGTGGGGATGCTCTTTGCCGTGCTCACCCTGCAGTGGCAGCGTTTCTTCACCACCCTCTCCACCGCCGTCTTCGGCAGTGCCATTATGACCGTCACTGTCGATTACTTCATTGAGCTCTTCCTGCTGGTGCAGTACATCTACGAGCGCATCAAGGTGGCCCCTGCTCGCCCTGTGTGCTGGTACAGCTGGGTCATCCTGGGCGTCTGGCCGCTGCTCACTGTGCTGGGTGTCCTGGTCCAGTGGAAGGTCACAGCCGAGGGCTACTCTCACACTGAAGGTGAGCAGAGGTTGGGGAAAAAGGGAGAAGGTGAGGCTGGGCACAATATTGAGGTGTCACCAGCGGGTGGTTGGGGTGCAACAATGTTTTGAGGTGCTGACCGCCCCCCTGCCCCACAGTGATCATCAGCCGGCAGCAGCGTCGTGTGCAGCTAATGCGCATCAAGCAGCGGGAGGACCGCAAAGAGAAGAAGAAGAAGCGGAGGCCTCATCACCCACCACCCCACCAGCACAAGGCCCACCCTCCCGAGCCTGCCTACCGCCGCAAGCCCAACCCCGTGCGCCGCTTTGATGGGGACGTGCTCTCCCCAGTGAGTCCCACGCCCAGGGTAGAGATCTCCCCAGGCCTTGGCCGGCTATTCCTTCTGCAGGGATGGGACGGGATGGGTTGGGATAGGATGGGATGGGACAGGATGGGATGGGATGGGACAGAGCAGGCCGGGAGCAGAGCCTGCTCATCCTCTACCCCTTTCTCATGCAGAGCTACATCCAGAGTTTCCGAGAGCGGCAGACGGGGCCATCCCTCAACAGCCTCATCGCCAGCTCCCACGCTGTGGTGGACCTGGACTATGACTGCAGCTCCACCGTGCCCCTCACCACAGGCTCCGGCCCCGCCATGCGGGTATAAGCCAACCCAGTGACCTCGAGTGACACCAGCACCCCAGCCTGCTCCCACAAACCTCTTTGGACACATGGGGCTGTTCCTTCAGCCTCGGGGCTGTGGAGGCTATGGATGGAGAACCTTCCTGGGGCAGCATGGGAGCCCAGGATGCCCGCGGGACTCAGCCATGCTGGGGACACCCCCAGGCAGAAACTCAGCCCACGGATTGGGGCTACGAGCACCCATGGACTCAGAGTGTGGTGTGAGCAGCTCTGCTGCACGTTTCCCCATGGCCTGGGCACACTCCTTCTGCACCCTGACACCCTCCTTTCCATGTTCAAGCCCTCCCAGAGCAGCTTCCCATGCCTGCTCCCTCTCCATCATGCCCCACAGCGACTCCCCAAGTGCCTGTCCCCATCTCCCTTCTTCAGAGAGCAGCTCCCCAAGCCCCTGCTCCCAGCGTGACTACCCTGAGCATGTGTGCCCCATCCCACCCCAGGCAGCAGTCCCAAAAGTCTACCGTTAGGGGTTCGTGCCCTACACGCCTTCCTTGCCCCCAGAGCAGCTTTCCTGCCCCCTTCCCCTATTTTCCTGGGCTGAAGTGGGGCAGACTTGGGCAGAGGCTGCCAGGGCATGTGGCTGCTGCTGTGGGGTAACAGCACTGGGGCTCTGCCCCACCTGGGCACTGTGCGCACTCCCCTGAATGTTTTGACGGGAGCCAGGATGCAGCCTTCAGGCAGAGGTTGGGCTGCTTCAGGGACCCCCCGGCATCAGAGGCCATCGCTGTTTTGCTGGCGACTGGATTTTATAGTGGCTGGGGGGCCCTGGGGGCAGTGCCTCTGCAGGGCAGGGCAGGAGCCCCTGCTCAGAGCATCACTGCGGACAGAGGCTCCCGCCTTGTATATACTTCTCTTGCTGTGATTTGTATTAATTTATTACGGAGTGAGCCAGGACCTCCCCGCAGGCGGGATGTGGGGGGACCAGAGTGGGGTGCCCCTGGGTGCTGTCCCGTCCCCGGCTGCCACCCCAGGAACTGCATGTTTCTGCCACGCCGTCTCTGCAGCGCCGCGCCGCCGCCGTCCCCCTTTTCAGCCTCTTTTGTAAATGTGCCAAACGCTGCTGAGGCCATGGCCACACAGTAAAGAGCCTTTCAGAACTGCCGTGCCGAGGTGGGGGCTGCGCCGGGGAGCTGGGGGACCTGAGGTCCGTGCACTCCGTGGGCACCCCAGCTTCTAACTCCCTGCAGGAACAAAGTGTGTTGGGGAGCAGGGGGAGCACAGACTCCCACCCAGGGATCAGATCCCCAAAGCAGGAGTGGGTGGGACAGATGGACATGGGTGCTGGTGCCACTGCATCCCTCTACGTGCTCACCTTCCACCAGGAGCCGTGCGGTGGAGCGGTCATCGAAGGCATCACAGGTGTACGAGTCCTCGTCCTCAGGTCCTACACAGTGGATGATGAGTGTGCGGTAGCAGTCCAGGTTGCAGATCTCATACTTATCACCAGCAAAGATCTCGGTGTTCCCACGCAGCCAGCGCACACGGCCCCGGGCGTGTGACACCATGCACTCCAGCGTTGCCTTGTGCCGTGCCAGCACTGTCTTGTCCCGCAGTGGCTTCACAATGCGGATGGGCAGCACTAGGGCACAGGGGGGGGACATCAGCATCTGCCCCCCATGGCCCCATAGTGCCACCCTGCACGCCTGCTACCTTCCACCTTCAGGGTGGCCTCTGAGCTGGCCGTCCTGGCTGCAAAACGGATGGCACCCGCATCCTCAGGGCGCACAGTGCAGAGCAGCAGGAAGTGCCGTGTGCCTGGAGAGGGGGGTGAAGATGGTTGGGTACATTGAATTCCCACATCCCCCAAAATGGAGTATGGGGCATGCTGCCCAGTGTGGGAGGCACAGCACCTTCTTGCCGTATCTTCACTGTGCTGGACATCTTGATCTTTTCCCCATCACGGAACCACTCGCCCACCACGTCACCATGGGACACCTCACACGTGAACACAGCATTATCACCTTCCCGCACACAGGCATCTTGCAGCTCCTGCACTATGTGGACCTGGTGCTCTGCAGGACAGGGACACAGTGCTGGAGCCAGCTGGGTGCCAGTCCCTTCTGTGGCAAGAAGCTCGGCGGCCAGCAACCATACCATGGACACGCAGCGTGGCGGAGGCTCGGCAGTCACCTGCCTCACAGGTGTAGATGCCGGCATCAGGCAATGCACAGTGGTTGAGCTGCAGGAGGCGGCGTCGACCCGCAGAGTACATGCGGCAGTGGGGGCTCGGCCGCAGCTCCATCCCGTCCTGTGTAGACAGTGTGGTCAAGGTTGGCTGGGTTGGTTCCCCTCACCCTGTGCACAGCCTTGCAGAGAAGGTGGCACCTGGGGGATGAGGCCATCAGCCTGGATGGGGAGCACATGAGCTCTCACCTTGAGCCACTTCACCTCAGCGCTGGGACGGGACAGCTCGCATTCGAAGGTGGCAGCCCCTGCCTCTGGAACCTCCAGGTCCTGCAGGAGCTTCACCATGCTGATGGGAGGCTCTGAGGGGAGACAGTGTGGTGGGAAGGGTCAGTGAGGGAAAGGCATTGGCACCAGGGCACAGGGACAGAGAGCAGTGCGTGGGGTATCTCAGCACTGGGTAGGGACGACCTTTCCCTGGGCACTTCTATAGGCAAGCTCCCCACTGCTAAGCACCCATCTCCTAATGGAAAGGTTGTGCGCCCTGCTCAGCCTTGGCATCACACCCCCAGTGGCATACCCCATTACCCCCGTGCCGTACCCCGCACGAGCAGGCGGGCGCTGCAGCGCAGAGTGTCAGCAGTGAAGGTGATGGTGCCTGAGTCCTCCAGTGCCAGCCCCTCCAGCGTCAGGCTGTGCGTACAGCCCATGGCGCTGACCCGGCACGTGGCACTGGGCTTCACCCGCACACCACCATGTGTCCAGACCCCAGGCACACCAGCGTGGGACAGCTCCAGCAGGAAGGTGGCTGTCTGCTTCTCAAAGGTCTCCACGTCAGCCAGCGGCCTCCGGATTGACACTTTCTGGGCTGCGAGGGATAGGGACAGTGCTGACGAGTGGTGCCCTAGCACATAGCCTTGTTATCCCCAGTCCTTGCTGGAGCAATCCCCCAATACAGTCCTTGTTCCTGGGTGCCCCATAGCATCCTGTCAGCAAGATGACCCTGCAAGGTACTCACGCTCCACGCTGAGCTTGCCCTGTGTGCGGTCGTGCAGGCTCTCGCAGCGGTAGGTGCCACGGTCAGAGGGGCTGACACTGCAGATGGTGAGGGTGCGCCGGCACCCAGACTCACACATCAGGTACTTGTCGCTGGGCTGGAGGAGCACGCCTTGCTTCAGCCACTGCACCTCGGCTGCCTCATGGCTCACCTCCACCTCCAGGCACACGTCCTGCTGCTCCTCTGCCACCACATCCCGCAGCTTCTGCACAAACAGCACCTGTGCCTCTGCAGCGATGAGGAGATCAGTGTGCAGCCCTTCAGATGACCCATTGCCCTGTTCCTAACCTACTCACCCTGCACACTGAGCCGGGCTGTGCTCAGCAACCCCTCGGCATTGGCTGTCACAGTGGCCGCGTCGCCTGGCTGGCAGCCCCGCATGGTGAGGCTATGGCACAGCCCATTCCTGGCCACCTGCAGCCGCTCGCTGGGCACGACTGGCTGCCCATCCAGCTGCCATGTCACTGCCACGTCCTCAGGGGACACCATGCACTTGAAGGTGGCATCGTCCCCCTCCAGCACCGTCAGGCTCTGCAGCTCCACAATGATCTCCACCACTCTGCGCACTGAGTGTGGCCATCAGGTCATATGCCCATGGCACAGGGTGGGCACTGAGGTTTTGGGGTACCCAGTCCATGGGGTAATGCTTACCCTGCACCGTCAGCGTGGCCAGCGTGCGGTCATCATTGGACTCGCAGCAGTACTCCCCAGCATCCTCAGGTCCCACACAGCTCAGCACCAGCGAGCGCTCCCGGCCCTGCACCCGGACCTCGCAGCGCGCATCAGGCTCCAGCACCCGCCCATCCTTCAGCCACACCACGTCGCCACGGGCCTTGCACAACTCGCACCACAACACCACTGTCTCGCCCTGCCGTGCCCGCACATCCGAGAGCCCACGCAGAAACTTCACCTGCAGCTCTGCACAGACAGCCATGAGTGTGCACATACCCCCAGCACCGTGCTGTGCATCCCCCTGCCACCAGCGCTCACCCCGCACGCTGATGTCAAACTGCATCTGGTCATCAGGGGACAGGCAGGTGTAGACTCCAGCATCCTCCTTGGCCACATTGCTGAGGATCAGGCTGTGCACACGGCCATCACACCGCAACTGGCAGCGCTCGCTGGGCACCATGAGCTGCCGGGGGCACAGCCAGGTGATGTCAGCTCGCTCCTTGGACACGACAGCTGAGAGCACGGCACTACCACCCTCAAGCACCAGCAGCTTCTCCCGCTCCTCCTGCTTGTTCACAAACAGCACCGGTGCCTCTGCACCAGGAGCAAAGCTCAGTCCGGGGTTGGGGACATGAGTCCTGCTCTGTAGGGGACATCTCCATAGGCTCACCTTTCACATGCAGTGTGAAGTACACCTCGTCGTCCCCAGCATCGCAAAGAAAGGTGCCAGCATCCCCCAGTTCCACTTGCTTGATGGTGAGGCTGCGTGCTGGACCCTCGCTGCACACCAGCAGCCGCCCACCTGAGAGCAGCATCTGCCCATCCTTCTGCCACTGTGCTGCTGCTGTCTCTGGGGACAGCTGGGCCACCAGCGTCACACTGTCTCCCTCCTGCACCTCCAGCGGGCTCTGCGCTTCCTCCTTGTTCACAATGCGCACAGCCTGGGCTGGGAGACATGGGCAGGAATGGCACTGCTGATGGCAGGGATGGCTGCGGTGCCCACTGGTGTGACTTAGGGGCTTGAGTTGCCGTGAGGCTAATGGTGATCATGGTGGAACTATCTGGGGGTCTCTGCAGGACAGGCTGACTGAGGCTGGCAGCTAAGGTCCCTCTGGGGAACAGATCCCAGCAGGGATGCTAGCAGAGCCCACTCCTGCACCCTTCCCAGCTGCTGAATGAAGGACATTGATTTTTGCCCCTTACTGGGAGCTGGGATACCCGCACAGCCTGCTGATACAGGCCGTGCTGATAAAGGCCTTGCTGAGCTCAGCCCTTGGCAGCCAAAGCAGGAGGAGAGGCGCCTGGGAGCCTGCCAAGGATAAATTTAACCAGCCCCTGCCTGGGGGAGGTGGGAGGCATGGGTCTGATGGCCCTGACCTGCCCCTTCCAGGCTGACAGCTCTTTAGGACAGGGCTCTTGCCCTCACCTGGTTCTGCCACCCTGCTCCTGCTACCCCTCTCACCTGTCACCTCTACGCACGTCACCATGCGGTCGCTGGCAGCATCACAGACGTAGCACCCTGAGTCCCCGGGCTGTGCCCCGCGCACAGTGAGCTCCCGCAGTGCCCCACGGGCCACAATGCACACCCGCTCCCCTGGCTGCAGCTCCCGGCCATCCCGCAGCCAGCGCACGGCAGCATCAGGCTGGGACAGCTCACAGGCCAGCACCAGGTCCTGTCCAGCCACCAGGCAGCAATGCTTTGTGGTGCCCATGTTCCCCACGATGCTCACTGGTGGTTCTGGGGCTGGAGAGACACACTGTGACACTGGGTGCTTGCCTACCCATTCAGTCCATCTCCACTTTATATGTCCCCTGTTACCTTCCACGGTGACGCAGAAGATGACACTGTCGTCTTGGGTGTCACAGAGATACTCCCCTGCATCCCTGTCTGTAGCACCCAGGATGACAAGTGCCCGGCGCTGCCCATCCTCCTCCAGCCGCACATGCCCCGTGTCCTGCAGCTTCTCCCCATCCTTGTACCACTTCACCTCCCCATGGGCGTGTGACAGCTGCACCTCCAGCACCAGATCCTCCATGGCCCGGCAGCGTCGGCAGATTGGCAGTGCATCCCTCTCCAGGATCCTGACTGGAGGGTCTGTGGTTCCGCTCACCAACAGAGCCCACCGTTAGCATTGGCCAGGAGCCCCCACATGAGAGCAGACCCAGAGTGGGATCCTAAGGGGAGGGGGCTGCTGCCACCCTGCCCTGTCTATGCACCCAGTGCCCCAGGTTCTCGCTCACCTGACACCTGGACAGTGAACGTCACCGCATCATCAACTGCATCGCAGAAGTATTTTCCAGCATGCTCAGCTCGGGCAGCAGGGATGAGCAAGCGACGGTGGGCACCATCTTCTTCCAGCACCCAGCTGCCCCCCGCCTCCAGCCAGACACCCTCCCTGGCCCAGCACACGGGTGCATCAGCACGGGACAACTCACAGGACAGCATCACCGTCTCCCCTGGAGACACCTTCACAACAGGTGGAGGTCTCTGTGGCTGCAGGATCTTCACTGGGGGCTCTACAAGGACAGCATGGCACTGGCGCAACATGGCACAGGAGATAAGTGGGAGAGGGGCACCCAGGGTGGTACCGGGGCTTCCTCGCTAACCTGTCACCTTGACATCGAATGAGACAGCTTCATCCTTGCTCTCACAGATGTACTCCCCTGTGTCCTCAGCACTGCTCCTGGGAATGAGCAGGCAGCGCCAGGCACCATCCGCCAGCAGCTGCAAGTTGTCAGTCTCATCCACCTCCAGCCCATCCTTGAACCAGCGCACGGTAGCATCGGGCATGGACAGCTCACAGCGCAGCTCCACGTGCCCCGGCGCCAGCACTGGCAGCTCCAGCGAGCGCTGCGCAGGGTACAGAATCCTCACTCGTGGCTCTGCCAGGGCACAAAGGAAGGAGGTAAGGATGAACATATCCCTGCTTTCCCCCACTGCAACCCTAACTGCAGGGCTGTGCAGGTGCCGGGGCACTGCCTCTTGCCCCAGCACAGTGACGCAACAGCTGGAGGGCAGGAGCGGAGGGAAAATGTCCCATGCCAGCAGAAGTGCGCATGTGCTTATTGTGCACACGTGTCACAGCCAAGAGCCCCTTCCAAGAGCCCATAGATCAGCAGCAGCACACTTCCCCACATGCTATCCCAGCTATGTCACCCACCAGCCACCATGACGTGATAGGAGGCAGCAGTGTCTCCGGTGTCACAGACGAACTCCCCTGTGTCCTGCGGGTGGGCGCAGGGCAGCACCAGGCAGCACCGCGGCCCCTCGCGCTCCAGCACCAGGTTCTCGCTCTCCTCCACCTCCTCCCCATCCTTGTACCAGTGCACAGGGGTCTTGGCATGGGACAGCTGGCACCACAGCTCCACACGCTGCCCGGCCACATAGGTATGCGGGGTCTCCTCATTGGAGCTGACAATCCTTACTGGTGCCTCTGCACAGGACAAAAGGCTCAGTGTGGTGACATGGAGCAAGTGAGCCTCATGCAAGGATGGGCAACCCCAGCAGCTCACCGCTCACGGTCACCACAAAGCTCACGCTGTCATCCCCAGCATCGCATGTGTACGTCCCCGAGTCCGATGGCACAGCCGTGGGGATGTGCAGCCTCCGCCAGCATCCTTCTGACTGGATGCCCAGGGTCTCACTGGGCACCACGGCTTTGCCATCCTTCAGCCAGCGCACAGGGGCACCCGCTGGGCTCACCTCACACTCCAGCAGCAGCGGCAGCCCTGCCAGCAGCTCCTGGAGCTGCTGAGCTTCAGGCACTGGGGCGATGCAGGCCTGCGGGGCTGGGAGAACCAAGAGAACAGGGTACAACTCACTGCAAGACCCACACACAGAGAAGCTGCAGAGGCATAGCTGTGCCCCAGGAAGGATGGAGCAGACCACCCAGCTGAGAAAGCTGCATTCTGTGATGAGGCAGCCAGGCATGCAGTCAGGGCAAAGGGAAGAAGGGGAAGAAATGGGCACCCACCTGCCACCATGATGGTGTAGAAGACGGAGTCACCACCCACGTCGCAGACAAACTCCCCTGCATCCTGCGGGCGGGCGCAGGGCAGCACCAGGCAGCACCGCAGCCCCTTGCGCTCCAGCACCAGACTCTCGCCCTCCTCCACCTCCTCCCCATCCTTGTACCAGTGCACCGGGGTTTTGGCATGGGACAGCTGGCACCACAGCTCCACACGCTCCCCGGCTACATATGTGTGTGGGGCTGCCTCATTGGAGCCCACGATCCTCACTGGTGGCTCTGCACAGGGATGTGGGGCTCAGCATGTTGCATGGAGGAGTACTGACCATGAGCATGCAAAGCCCCGCATTGCACAATGGCTTCACTTGCTCCTTCTTTTCAGTCTGCAAGCCACCACCTTTCCAACATTCTGCATGGCACAGGTGCTGGGGCTGCCCTGCTGGCTCATGCTGTGCTGCTTGGCAAGGGACACCATAGTGTCCCCATTTCTGCTGCCAGCACTGTGCCGTGGGTGCTCAGCCTGATTCAATGACCTGCCCTTGTCCCTGCCCTGTGCCGGGCATCCACATTGTGACCACGCTGAGATGTTTTGGTCGCCTCCAGTGCTCGGTGCCAGCACATAGCAGTGCATTGTGGCATACAGCCAGCCTGCGGGGCCTGACCTGCCCCACGCCGAGCCTACATCCGCCCCGCTCCCTGATCAAATGCTGTGCCCACAGGGGCTGCTAGAAGCAATCACATCACTCCAGACACTGAACCTGAAACCCACTACCTCCTGTTGGGGTCTGCCATTTCCCCATGACCTGGAAGCCCCTCAGAGCAGCAAGCGGCTTTAATCCATTGGGAAGTGGGCAGTGAGCCTGCAGTATGGTCAGCCAGAGTGAGATGGGCTGGGAGCTCTAGCACGTTGATCCCTGCCCTTAACTTCTGTGCTGGGCACCATCAGCTGTCGGGTAGATGCTGTAGGCCTGCAGCCCCGCTGCCTTTCACTAAGCTCAGCCCCCACGGCCTTCTTGTTTGCGGGGCTGTGGATTTGGGGCCAGCAGCGGGAAATCTTTCTCTCCTTTTCAGGTCTCATTTTCTTTTCCCACCTGAGTCACCAACAGCCAGGGCAGCTGCCACATGGTGCTGCTGCCAACAGCCAGTCACCGGTAGCCAGGCAACTGCTAATTTTTAGGGCAGCAATTACCACTGTCCATCAGAGTGGCGTCTGGCTGCAAGTTGCCCTGTGCCAGGTGCTGGGTGCCCCACCTCTATTTTTAGGCACTGGGGTCATGTTTACAAGGTAGCAGATACCATTTTTGCAGGGATTCACAGTGCCCGGTGCCACGCACCCCTCCCACCATGCACTCACCTGCCACCGTAATGGTATAGAAGACAGAGTCACCACCCACATCACAGACAAACTCCCCTGCATCCTGCGGGCGGGCGCAGGGCAGCACCAGGCAGCACCGCGGCCCCTCGTGCTCCAGCACCAGGTTCTCGCTCTCCTCCACCTCCTCCCCATCCTTGTACCAGTGCACAGGGGTCTTGGCATGGGACAGCTGGCACCACAGCTCCACACGCTGCCCGGCCACATAGGTGTGCGGGGTCTCCTCGTTGGAGCTGACAATCCTTACTGGTGCCTCTGCACAGGACAAAAGGCTCAGTGTGGTGACATGGAGCGAGTGAGTCCCATGCAAGGATGGGCAACCCCAGCAGCTCACCGCTCACGGTCACCACAAAGCTCACGCTGTCATCCCCAGCATCGCATGTGTACGTCCCCGAGTCCGATGGCACAGCCGTGGGGATGTGCAGCCTCCGCCAGCATCCCTCTGACCGGATGCCCAGGGTCTCGCTGGGCACCACGGCTTTGCCATCCTTCAGCCAACGCACGGGAGCACCTGCTGGGCTCACCTCACACTCCAGCAGCAGCGGCAGCCCTGCCAGCAGCTCTCGGAGCCGCCGTGCCTCAGGCACTGGGGCGATGTGGGCCTGAGGGGCTAGGAACCCATGTGGAGGGATAAGAAATGTGGGAGTTGCTTCCCACCTGCTGTTCTTTGACTTGTGGGATGCTGGGTGAGCTCACCTTGCACATGCAGCGTGGCCGAGTCCCGCACACTGCTAGCCACAAAGGTGACATGTGCACCACTCTCTCTCAGCCTCGCTGAGCGGATGAGCAGTGAGTGTTCTGTCCCACAGTGCTGCACACTGAAGCGCCCGCTCTCCTCACTTTGCAGCCTTGTGCCATTCAGGAACCACTCGCCCTGAATTGAGGCCGACAGCTCCACAGAGAAGCGCGCATCCTCACCATCCCGCACCCGTGCATCCTGCAGGCCCCTCTCCAGGCGCACAGCTGGCACTGCAGCACAGCATGAGCTCAGCCCCACAGCATGTGAGCACCTGGCACCACGCAGCTCCCACACTCCCACCCGCATGGAGATTCTGTGTCCACTCACCGAGATGCACGCAGCCAGGGAATTCCACAGGGTCACTGCGGCCGTACTCGTTGACAGCACAGACTCGGAAGCAGTAGTCAGCCTCACGGGGCACGCTGTCACCCAGCACCTGCACACGGCCGGGCAGCTCAGTGCTCAGGCACTGCACCCAGCTGCCACCCACCGCCTCACGCCGCTCCAGAATGTAGGTGCTGGGTGGGCGATGGTGCACATCGGGTGCAGGGCACCATGTCAGCAGGGCTGCGTTGCTCTGCTCTGTGCTCAGCTGGGCTGCCATCGGTGCACTGGGAGGGTCACGTTTCACACCTGGAACACATGGCGCAGTGGGGATTGGAAGGTTCCATCCCATCTCTCTGCCATTTCAGACCTTGGTGAATGGGGAGAACGGAGGGTGCGGGGAGGCCCCATGCAAACCAGCCCAGGGCTTACACTTGACGCGGAGCTGGGAGGATGTCAGTGACTCCCCAACAGAGAAGCAGATGATGCCCGCATCCTCACGGGTGACATGCACCAGCACCAGGAGGTGCGTCCTGCCGAAGCTCTTCAGCACGGCGCGTGGTGACTCATGCAGCTGCAGCCCATTGCGGCTCCAGCAGATCCCCTCCATGGCCTCCCGTGTCTCCACGCAGAAAGCCGCATTCTCTCCTTCCATCACATCCAGCTTCCGCGGCAGCCTCTTCACGATCAGCCCTAGGAGAGGAGACATGTGAGGGCAGGGGGACGCTGGGGCTGCATTATGGGAAGGCAGAGCTGGGCCCGCCCCCACCTCGGACGGAGACCTCAGCAACACTGCAGCCCCGGTCCTTCATCTGGCAGAGGTAGACGCCATCGTCGTCAGTGCGGGCATCGCGGATGGTCAGACGCCGCACCACACCACACTCCTCCATCACGTACTTGTGGCTGGGCTGCAGCTCCCTGTCCTCCAGGAACCAGGAGGTGGGGATGCTCCCGAGTGGCACCTGGCACTCCAGGACTGCATCCTCCCTCTCTGCCACCTCCACATCCTCCAGTGGCACCTGGAACCGCAGCCGGTGCTCTGTTGCCAGGAGAGATGGGTGCTGAGGGTGCTCAGCATCCTCCTGCTTGCCACCCTCCCGTCCCCCTGAACAGTACCCCTGGGAGCACCCATGCATGCAGTACCCCCGCATTCCTCCCATGTCAACAGCCCAGCCGTGAGGAAGGGAGATGGCAGCCCCCTGTTCCCAGCAGCTATTTTGGGATGTGGCAGCTGGGTGGGAGGCATTCAGTATGGGGCCTCAGGGAGACAACCCCATGCAGGGTATCCAGCACAGCCCCAGGGTGCACACCTACCCTTCACCTGCAGCTGCACGGCACTCAGTGTCTGCCCGGCCGTGTTGGAGGCGGTGCAAACATACAGCCCCTGGTCCCGGGGCCGGCAGTACAGCACCTTCAAGATGAAGTAGCCCTCACGGTCCTCATAGACCAGGTGCCGGCGCCCAGGGGCCACGACCTTACCATCCTTTTGCCAAATGATCTCTGGCTTGGGCTTGCCGGTGACACAGCAGCGGAACTTGGCGTGCTTCCCTGCACTGACAGCGAACGTCTTGGCTCTTGGTGTGCCGTTGGGTGCTGGTGCCCAGGTGTCAGTGCCCACATGCCGCGATCGCCGTGGCTGGGTGCTGTCAGAAGGGGAGCACCAGGGCTCCACCAGGAGCACAGCTGCAGCCAGGGCCTCCTTGGAGCCGCTGCGTGCCTGGCACACATAGACCCCTGCATCTGGGGGTCGGACTCCAAACAGCTTGAGGTAGTGCCAGTCCTCAGGCTGCCGGCCCACTGCAAAGTGGCTGCTCTCAAAGAGGTCACACAGCTTGCAGCCATCCTTCTCCCATTCCAGCAGCGGGGAGGGTTGCCCCAACACTCGGCATGAGAAGGTCACGTCTTCCCCACGGCACACCCGCACAGATGAAGGCCCCACCAGGAAGGTGGGAGCTCGGCCGCCAGCATGGCCTTCCTCCTCCTCCTCCTCTTGCTGATGCTCCCCAGCCTCCACTCGTAGCGTGGCGGCAGCATAGGTCTCACCAATGCAGTTCTTGGCCTTGCAAACATAGAGGCCGCCATCCTGCGGGGTGACGCAGGACACCCGTAGGCTGTACACATCCCCCTTGGCCTCTACACAGAAGCGGCCCGAAGGCTGGATCGGGGCTGTGTCCTTCTCCCAGAGGACACTGGGCCGGGGGTCACCTGCGATCTGGCACCTCAGCATGGCGTCGGTGCCGCTTTGTGCCGTGAAGGCTCGTGGGTAGGCCAGGAACCGGGGGGCTGCCCCGTGGCTCTCCATCACCTTGGGACTGGGGCAGGAGGAGAGCCAGGAGCTTCAGCCTGAGGACAGAGAGTGGGATCAGGCTGTGGTGCAAGACATCCCAACCAGAGCAACGCTGCATTAAGCTTGGGCTGGGAGGTGGCACCTTCCCATGGAGGCACGGGGCTCGCTGGGTCCCTGCAGTGCTGGGGATGGGGCTGGCTGAGGAAGAACGGGTCCCAGCGTGGCCCTTCCCCACCCGCTGGGGCATTCCTGCAGTATCGGGTGGTGGCAGAGCCGCATTCCTGCCGCATCTGGACTGGCTTAGTGCACAGGTGCTGATAAGGGGCTGTCATGGGGCTGGAGGCATCCGGACGCATCCGGGTGCTTCCTGCCTGGCTCAGTGGGGGGCATGGCAAGAGGGGCCCTGTCTGAGCATGGTCCCAACTCCAGCCCCTGCACGTCCAAGGCCAGGACTGGACATCACTGCAGGGTGCAGAGGGACAAAGGGAGAACAAGTCCTGCTTTCGGAGAGTACCACTTCCATGTCCAGTGCTGCAGGTACTCATGCCCATGCACCATGTCCAGCAGTAGGGCTCTGTGCTTGGAGCCTTTCTTGGGCAAGCGTAAACCTCAGCCCCTGCCTGTGCTGCGGCCAGCGCTGCACAGAGGTTTCTCTGTCCCCCTCAGGGAGAGCAGGGACAAAGAGAAACCCAGCCATTCCCTGGTTGGGCTGAAGGGGAATGTGGGACAGAACTCATCCCCGGGGGCCAGGGTCAGGTTCCCCCCCAAGCCGCGCCAGTACACACAGCCTCCCCCTCCTCCAATCACCCTGCCCAGCACCATCTCCTGCCTCGGGCACCCACCTCACACCAACACCTCTGTCCTGCAGCTCTCGGTGCCAGCACCCCACTCTGCTGCTCGCCCAGCTCTGCTCCCCAGCGTCAGCATGCAGGGACTGACCGTTAGGAATGCCTGCAGCTGCCGTCCCCAAAAATACCCTCCGATGACACGGCAGGGTGATAAGACTGAGCCTGCTCCATGCAGTGCCTCGACGGGGCAGGGCTGCCCTATGTATAGCACCAGCAAGCAGGCAGCACAGCAGCAGTGGGGTGCAGTAGACCCGTTCCTGATGGGTGTGGGTTCAGCCCATGGCAACGTGCTGTGCACAGCACACAGCATAGAGATGGGATATGCTGCAGCCAGCCAGCCCAAGTGACACTGTGAGACCCTTCTCCCATAACTGCCATAGTGTCCCAACCTCTGTCTGATGCTGTCCCCAGCCATGGCCTGTCCCCAGGCAGAGGCTCCCTATTCCCACCCTTCCTAGTGTTCCCAGGAGCCCAGTTGCTGTGGCAATGCCACTGCTCTGAACCTTGCATTCTTGGGGTGTCCCATCCTTACCCACTATGAGGGCACCCAGCCTCCCACTGCCATGTGCTGCCCACACTGTTTCTCCGCCCAAAGTGCACCCTCAGCCTCCTGCTGGCCCCCAGACTCCAGCACGGAGGCACCCAGCCGCAGGCCCCCACACCCCTTCCATCCCTCCCTGCCCCCAGCCCCACGCACTCACCACTCCAGCAGCATGCACCCCACCCACCCCCCTGCCTGGGCGCCGTCCCCCCCCAGACCACACTGTCCTTGCAGTCCTCACATTCCAGACGTCTCAGTGCTTTCACTGCCCAGAGATAATATTCACGGCGAGCAGACATTTGCGTCAGTGTCAGATACGTCTCAATGCCACCCTACCCCAGGGGCAGCGCAGTGGGCAGAAAGGCTGGGCTGGCAAGTAGGAGCCCACGGCAGAGCCTCTCAAGCTGCCCCACGGCCATGCTGCTCCTCCTGCACCTGCTGCCTGCCGTGCTGCCTGCCAGTGCCCTGGGCAGCTGCACCGGGGCTGGTGCCGACCGGCAGCTTGTCCTGGCCAAGGTGCGGGCACGGGTGCTGGAGCATCTGAGCCCCCCCCCAGCCATGCAGGAGCCCCAAAAGGATGCGAAGAGGGTGCATCGTAGAGATGTCCTCGAAGAGGTGGAGGTGCTACCCGAGGAGCAGGAGGACACATCCCAGGTGATTCTCTTCCCTTCCACAGGTGAGAGCCCTGGTGGGATGGAGAGCATGCAGGGGGTGTGGTGGGTGCTGCTTTGGGGCAATCGGGATGTGGCAGGGCCAGGTGACAGGGAGGTGACATAGGAGAGTGCCCAGAGGTGGAACAGGGGGCTACAGAGAGATGGGGATGGCTTAGGAGCGGGCAGGGCTGGACACTGGAATGGGATGGTAGAGAATGGGGTAGGGTGCTGGGAATGGGGTGCTAAGTGATGGGGTATGATGTTGAAGGATGGAGTGGGATGCCTAGGGATGGGGCCACAGTCAGATGCTCAAGGTTGCAACAGGATACACGGGGTTGCAGCAGAGTGCAGGAGGACAGAGCAGGGCACAGTGGAATGGATACACCATCACCAGACCATCCCAGGGTATGGAGGGGCTTGGTGACCTCACTAGGCAGCTCAGCCAACCCTGGCCATATGAAGCAAGTGGCTGAATCCCCCCTTCCCAAGGCCACGGGGTGTCAGGTGCCGCAGCTGTGCCTGGCTGGCAGCACAAGCCAGGAAGAGCCTTGCACAGGGCTGGATCTGCTGCAAGGTTTGGCTGCAGGACACAGAGCAGCAGGTTCCATGTGGCACTGGATGTTATCAGCTCCCCTGTGCCTGCAGCAGGGCAACCTGCCTGTGCCCACGGATGCCCCCCTCGGCACCTGCAGGTGCCCCCACGCTGGGGCATGGCACCCTGAGCCACTCTTTCCCCACAGATGTGCCGTGCGAGCCCACACAGCCAGATAAGTTGCTGGAGGAAGAAGGCATCTTCACTTACCTCTTCCAGCCCTCGGAGCACGTCCTGAGCCGCATGCTGACATCCGCCCAGCTCTGGTTCTACAGCGGCACCTCAGCTGCTCCCAACCACTCGGCCCCCGCTGTGCTGACCCTCTCACCGCAGGGCAGGGTGCCAGTGGTGGCCACAGCATTGCAGACATCGGAGCACTGGACGGTGTTTGACTTTGGCCCCGATGCGCTGCCCCAGCTGGCACAGCCGCTCTTCGTGCTCCTGGTGCGCTGCCCCAGCTGCCCTTGCCTGGCTGACGGGGACAAGATGCCCTTCCTGGTGGCCACCACCCGTGCCAAGGCAGCTGGGCGGGCTCGCCGCTCCGCTGTGCCCTGGTCACCGGCTGCACTCAGCCTGCTGCAGCGCCCATCGGAGGATGTGGCTGCCCACACCAACTGCCGCCGGGCGTCCCTCAACATCTCCTTCGAGGAGCTGGGCTGGGACAATTGGATCGTGCACCCCAGCAGCTTCGTTTTCCACTACTGCCACGGGAGCTGCGCCGAAGGCCATGGGCTGAGCCACCGGCTGGGTGTGCAGCTGTGCTGCGCCGCTCTGCCTGGCACCATGCGCTCGCTGCGCGTCCGCACCACCTCTGATGGTGGCTACTCCTTCAAGTATGAGACGGTGCCCAACATCCTGGCACAGGACTGCACCTGTGTCTAGTGGCTGGCACAGCATGGCTGAACCCGCGTGGGTCTCCCTGCTGCCTCTGGACTGCCCCAATGCCAGATGATGAGCCCATCCCATGGATGGAGGAGTCACTCACATGGGCACTGCACAGCCCAGGGCAGGGAGAGGGACCCAGGTGGAAGTTTTGGTGGTGCCACCCTCCCTGTGACAGCCAGGGTTTCATGGTTCCAGGCTGTGTGGGTGCTGCAGCCCTGCCCCAGGGCTGTGCCAAGCCCACAGCACGCCAGCTGTGCCCTGCAATGGCAGCCCAGTGCCTGAAGCCAGCTCACCCATCTCTCTCCTCCCACAAGAAAGACAAGCTGCAGAGCACCGGCACCTCCCCCTGCTCCCAGAGACAGGACAGGGACAGATGGATGTGCCAGGGCATGTCCATGCTGGGGCTCACACAGGTGGCGAGGCTGGTGGCACGCAAGCAACAGCAGAACCTGTTTGCAAGATCAGTGAGGCAAGAGAAATAAACTTGTTTTCTTTACAAAAGCAAACTTTGAACATCAGCTTCCATCAGGAACAGCCTCAGAGGCAGTGCGGTTATGGAGCGGGGTGCAAACCCAGAGGGCTGGAGGAGGGAGGGGAAGGGCGAGCTGTGGGCACTCAGCAGCATAGCATGGTGCTCTGCAAGCGGCCCCGCTCTGCTCCAACATCCCAGGGAGGGCACTGGTGGAAGCGCCAGGGGTGATCCATCCTGAGCAAGGGGAGAGCCAAAGAGCAGCATCTGTCCCTCCAGCTGCATTGGGATGGGGAGCACAGGGAAGCCCTGCTGAATCCACAGCTGCGCAGGAATGTGGCAATCGGAGCAATCCTTCTCCTGCCACGCCAGCAGAGGCTGCCTTTGGCCGAAGCCGCCTCCGCACAGTTGGAACAACTGAGTCACCCCGGGCCAAGCAGGGCGTCCCCATCCCACCACTGCCAGCCCCACGCAAGCAGCTGGCCCGCCCCAGCCCATCTGCGCAGGATCCCCTTCCCCACCCCTTCCTCCCAGAGGACCGGATGCAGAAATTCAGTACAAAACGTCTCCAGGCTTTACTGAATATAGATATAAAAAAAAAAATTAAAAAAGGAAAAAAAAAGTCACGATTATCCAAGTACGAAACAATGCTACAAAATTCACCGCGTGACCCATGAGATGATCAGAATGCCCAAGTGCCTCCCCACCGACCCGCTCTGGGCACTGCACAGACCCACGCAGGGCTCCCAGCCCCACACCAGGCTGGAGAGGATCGGCTTTGGTCCAAAGCCCAAGCAGAGCTGCTTCCAGGGAAGTGGAGGAGATGGGAAGGACAAACACAGACCCCTGTGCTCCCTAAAAAGAGCAGCCTGGAGAGGGGAGCTGAAAGGGGCCCTGTGCAACCTACGTGTGCTCGCTATATGGGCACACCCCAGCAGTGGTGCCAGCGGGATACGTCTCTCACGGATCCCTGCTGTCACCTCTACTTCAGGCTCAGTGCCAACCTGTGTTGCAGCCTCACCAGCCAGACCTGGGTGCAGTGTGAGTGAGCATCCTTACTGCTGTCATAACCCACACGTGCACAGAGTGGAGGGGAGGCACGAGTCAGAGGTGCTGCAGGCACAGGGCGTGGGGAGGGACGTGAGGATACAACAGGAGACAGGGAGGGAAGGTGTGGGCTCAGAGTGGGAATCGGGAGGGGTGTATAAAAATGCCAGGGTGCACGCTGCTGAGTTTATAAAAATGTACAAAAATAAGATATTCCTTTTTTTAAAAAAAAAAATTAAGAACAGTGAAGGAAGGTTCCCCAAGCCCCTGTCCCCATTGCTGCCCACCGGGATGGAGACGCCCCGAGTAGCCCCACTGGGCAGATACATGTCACCGTCCCACGCTGTGTCACACCACTGTCCTGCACCGTCCGTCCTCATCACTCACAGCCCTGTGGGAACAAGATGCAGATCAACAGTCATCCTGGGGTGCCCCACCGCCCCACCAGAACCTGGTCCCCTAGGCTCACCTGTGCTGCGCTCGCAGCCGCCACCCTTCTCGTGTGCCAGGTTGAGGCGGTTCTGCTCGGCAGCCATGCCGTTGGCCTCGGGGCTGCTGCTGCGTGAGGGGCTGGGAGGCCGGGGGGGCGGCTGCAGGTGGAAGGCCATCTCCAGGTGCTCCTGAGCCAAGCGCAGGTGCTCACGCAGCCGCTCCAGCTCGTGCTCACGGGGAGCGCCAGCCAGGGCGAAGCGCTCGGCGGCCGAGTTGGCCAGGTTCTCCCGGTAGTCTAGCTTGCCATCAGGCAGCGGGGCTTTCAGCGGCTCCTTCTTCAGAGAGTGGTAGGTGGGCGGTGCACTAGGAGGCTTCTTGGCGTAGTGCGGTGCGGGGCTGCTGGCAGGTGGGCTGTTGGGCTGGCTCAGCGCATCGCGGATGCGCCCCACGCCCAGGTGCAGGAGCTCGCAGATGTTGAGGAAGAGGCAGAGCCCGCTGACGGCGTACATGATGAGCAGGAAGATGGTCTTCTCCGTGGGGCGCGAGACGAAGCAGTCGACCATGTGCGGGCAGGGGCTGTGGCTGCACACGTAGGAGGGGCTGACCTTAAAGCGGAACAGCAGGTACTGCCCGAAGAGGAAGGCTGACTCCAGCAGCATGCGGCACAGCAGCTGCAGCACATAGGCACGCATCAGCCCATCCTGCTTGATGCGGCGCCGACCGTCGTGCTTCTCGCCGCCCTCGGTGCCCTTCTCCTTCTCCACCTCAATCTCCTCGAAGATCATGGGGTCCTCTTCATTATCGTCCTCCGCCTCCTCATAGTCCCGCCCGGCTCCGCGCCGCACCACTGGCATGCGGCTGCGCTGAGTTGCCGGCGCCCGGCGCCGTGAGGACTCGGGCATACGGGCAATGCGGTGCATGGCAAAGCCCAGGTAGAGCACCGAGGGGGTGGCCACCATGATGATGTGGAAGATCCAGAAGCGGACGTGGGAGAGTGGGGCGAAGGCATTGTAGCAGACGTTCTCGCAGCCTGGCTGCTGCGTGTTGCAGACAAACTTGCTCTGCTCATCGTAGTAGATGGACTCACCCCCCACGGCCGTCAGCACAATCCTGAAGATGATGAGGACGCTGAGCCAGATCTTGCCCACGAAGGTTGAGTGGTTGTTGATCTCCTCCAGGAGCCGCGTCAGGAAGCTCCAGCTCATCCTGGCCAGGCAGTCGGCTCAGCCCTGTCGGAAGGCAGACGATGAGCCACAGAGCAGGCAGCAGCGCATCTCACCCGGCCCCCCAAAAGCAGCAGAAGCCCCCACGCAGTGCCTACATCCCATCCCTTACCCACCGGTGACTCCCAGATTCCGTACAGCATAAAGGTGAGGGCACCAGCAGCCCCCAGCACCTCCTGCCCTACTGCTACCAGCCAGGATGCGGGGAGTAGGCGAAAAGCCGGGACACTCACCCGTTCCGGACAGGATGTATCTGGGGGAAGAGTCACCACGGCAAGGGTAAACACGGGAGCAGGGCAGTGCCGGCTCTGGCGGGCGAGGGGACAGCCCAGTGGAGCCAGAGGCTCGTCTGCCACCTGGTCCCAGGGCCGTGCCGCACCCCGTGGCTCGGGCACGGCGAGGGAAGTGGAGCACGAGGGACCAGGGTGACGGCAAGGGGCAGCACGAGGCAGGCAGGGAATTGCACAAAGTTGCAGCTGACGCCAGATGTCGGGGAGGAAATTGCGGGGAAAGCACAGCAGCCTCTGGCCAGATCCGCGGGGAGACGGCGCACAGTCCAGCCGCCGGCGTGAGGCCGACGCGAGGGCGGCAGGTGGCGGCTTCGCGGACCGCCCCGAGAGACCTCTCCCGCCGCTATTGTTCTGCTCCGAGCCTCGCGCCAGCGACTGGCACGCGCCGGCACCGGGACTCCGCCAGCCCCGAGCAACGGGCGCCCAAACCCGCTCCTCGGCCACCCCGCTCCCCCGGCCGAGCGCCCCGCGGGGCCCCGCCGCAGGGGCGACGCTTTGTGTCAGCGGCCGCTCCTCGCCCGGCGGCGCGGCGCCCCGGGGTCGGTGCAGGGGGCGGGCCGGGGTACCCAGGCGGCCCGGGGAGGGACGCGGGGCACGCAGGTGACGCAGGCTGCCGCCCGGGGCAGGTGGCCGAGCCGCCACGCGCGGAGCAGCACCGCGCGCCGCAGCCCGACCTACCCGCGCCCCGAGCCCGACCCACCCGCGAGCCCGAGCCCGGGGCCCGCAGCCCCACCGCACCCGGCGGCTCCCAGCCCCAGCGCTCCCCCCGCCCCACTCACCCCACGCCGGGACGAGCGGCTCCCGCCGGCGGCGCGGCGGACAAAGCGGCGGGGCGTTACGCCGCCGCCTCCCGCCGAACAAAGGGGCCCGGGGCCGCCCCGCCCCGCGCCGCCCGCCCGCCGGTACGCACCTACGGGCCCGCCGCGAGCCGCGCCGCTTCCCGCCGCTCTCGCCCGCCCCCGGTGACTCACGGCCGGGGCGGGGAGCGCGGCCCCGGGAGCCTCTCCGCTCGGGGCGAGGTGCCGCCGGGCTGGGAACCGGGCGCGGTGTTCGCGCGCTCCGGCCCCGCCGGCTCTCGTGGCCGTGGCTTTGGGGTGCCGGGCTGGCTTTCCGCGCTGCTAAAATTGGCTCCGGACGGCTGCCCGGTCAGGGGATCCCCGGGGACCGAGGGTCCGTCCTCCCTGGGGATCCCCGTGGCACCCGGGCAGAGCACCGCGTCCTCCCGCCCCCGGCACTGACGGGAGAGCCGCCTTGTGCAACCCGGGGAAGCTGCTGCTGCGTAAGGAGCGGCCGAGGGGAAGCGGGAGCGCCGTCACCGACCGCAGGACCGGGACTAGGCCGTGGGGCAAAGCCTGGCGCTGGAGCGGGCGCACAGCACGCAGTTACGGGGAGACAGCGGCGAGAGTGCGGATAAGCAGAGCTGCCAGGCCTGGGGGAAGCCCACCTTCTGCCCCCAGCAGGCCTCGGGCATCCAGTGGCGGCAGCGGGCTCCTTCCTGACCTGGGTGGGCTCTGCTGGGACAGTCGCTGCTCCCAGGGCAGCTGCCGAGCTGTGTTTGCTCAGCTGGGAGAGGAGCCTGACTGCCTGGCCTGGGCACAGCCTGAGCCATCGCCTCACCTGGCCCAGGGCCGTGCCACACACAACCTGTCCCCACTCTTCCCCTACTAATCAGCGTTTCTGGCACTGGGACAGGGAGCAGACGGCTCCATTAGGGACTGTTTGTCCTGATACAGGACAGCTCCACAGCCACTTTAGTGACCTGATAACAGCCAGAGGAACGCTCCAGCAGAGGAGTGCAAAGGGCAGCAAGCGGCCGCTGCAGGAAGGCTCTGCTGGAGGTAAACACCCATTAGAAATAGGGCTCTCCCAGTTAGAGAGCTGACAGCCAGCCCCCAGGCTCTGTCTGCTCCCAGCCTAGCTGCTGGAGAGGAGAGACAGAGGAAAATGGTGATAGTCAGACAGATGACTGAGGTGTGCTTCTGCACACACTGCGTTGGCACAATGAGACCAGTTACCCCATCACTAGTTCCAGCATGAGCGGCTCCACAGAAGCACTCGAGGTCAGAGAGAAACTACAGAGGGAGTGAGGATATGCCCTGGTTGTTATCAGATTAAGGGAAAACAAAGCGAGTGCTTGATGAAGAGGCAGCAGAAGGGTTACAGCAGCACCTGTGAGCTTCCTCTGGCAATAGCCAGGGAGTGGGTGAGAACCAATGTGCTGGTGCTGAGCCAAGGAGATGGACCTGCAGAGAAAAAGGGCCAGGAGCAGGAGTAAGGATGATGGTAAAAAGCAAGTAAAATAGCCTGAGAACAGGCATGGGCAGGCAAGCAGCTGAAACCTTTAGTTCTGGCACTCCAGACTTTGTCAGGTACCTCAGCACATAGCCAGTTGCAGCAGAGCAAAGGTGCAGCTTGATTACGGTGGAAAACACCAGCTGGATGGAGCTATGTCAGGGGATCAGTGTGCACAGAGGAGACAAAGACTGGTCTGGAAACTCGTTTTGACTCTTGTACTTTACATAAAACACAGTTATGGTAGGGAAAGATAATACTTAACACAGGCACCTTAAATGGCAAGACGAAGACAGAAAAACCTTACTGGTCATTACTTGGTGCTGCTCTCTGAGACTCCTTCCCCCAGACAAAGTGCTGTGTACTGGCAGTGCTTCCACTGAGCTCATTGCCATTCGCAATCTGAGATCACTGCAAAGGAACGGAGAGCAGCAGCCATATGCCCATTTAGGAAGAGGGGACAAAGTGGAATGCATTGTGACATCTGCCTCAAGACACTATAGATCTTGTCAATCCAGTCTATAGAAGGCTAGATAAAAATATTGGCCACTGTGAGCCTTCAGCAACTGAAACTGCTTCTCAAAGTGACAAGTCTAAAAATAAACAGATTCCAAGAAGGCACCCAGCGGCGTGCTGTGGGGTGGCCTTTACACTACTACGAAATTGAACTTCCTATTCTCCTAAGGCTCTGATGATGGTATATCTGGGTTGGTTGTGGCCTTGCTGCCTTGCCAGCCCCAGAACTGGCTCCTGGAAACCGATGAAGCTAGTATGCAAGACCTTACTAGGACATCACAGCAATGCAAGAGGATGAGGTGAGGAAAATATGGCAATTCAATAAATATAAGCTTTTTATTACAATAGAAAATAGTAAAACTCATGTTAAAATAGACTCTTGCTTTTGGACTGCTCAGAAAAGCCTAAGCCTCACTTCTACCTGCCAGTGTCCATGAGGGTCCTGACCCCCTAAACAATGAGCAACACACTTCTGTGGTCAGAGCCTCCCAGCTCTCCTCCCTCCCCAGTGACAGTGAAGGACTACAGCAGCAGACTGAGCCATGCCCTGCCAGGCAGGCAGGCAAGAGCTCTCTGTGGGGTTAAGAGTACAACATATGCCTTATTCCTTTGTGCAGTCAGGCTCCTGTTTGAAGCAGGTGCTTTTGGGAAGCTGTGGATAAAAGAGGGAGAAAGAAAAAGAAAAGAATCATCAGCAGACACTGGCAGCTGTTCTGGGACAGCTAGGAAGGCAGCAAATACATCTGCTAGGAAGACTACATCCAACTGCCTCTGGCCTGCTGATTTGCCTGAGTTACGCCACAGCCCGCTGAACACACTCTGGCTCAGCTTCTCTCTTCAATAATACTTCATACTATCCTGAAGGAGACTAGCAAATACCACCAAGTTAAAACTCTGTAGCTTACACAGTATTACAAGGGACATCTCCAACCACCTCCTTCCATGGCCAGCCCAGTGCAGGTGAGTGACTGTGCAAAGTCTGGATCGTTGCGTGCTCCCCTCCTCCTCAACAGAAAGGGTCAGGGGCAAGACTAGAGTAGAAAGCAAAGGCCATAGGACAGCAAGATCAGATGGAAGGGGACACATTTGTGCACTGCTGCCAGCACAGCAGCACTCATGACTCCAGGTCTTGCCTGCCTACAGCTGGCAAGCTCACTCCAGTCCCTCGTACACAGCTCTCCGTAGCTCGATAGAGAACATCTCTTCCCAGGGCCTGCGGATCCACTCCACCAGCTCTAGCAGGAGCTCAGGGCACTCTGTGCGGATGTGCCAAGTGCTCTCCACCTTCAGCACCTGTAAGGGAGGAAAGAGACAGAGGTGGATGAGCAGGGCTCCACCTCAAAGGCACTTATCAGCCCTGAGCTGCTACTCTACAGCACAGCTGCCAGCTCCTCCCAGTTTCTAAGTGATATCCTTCTCCTGCCATGCTACCAGCCATGAAAGTGTCCCTGCATGACTTTTGTATAGCAGCTTATTGCTGCACTCCCTCTCCTCTGTGGTTCAGGGCCCTGGGTTAGGATGGGAGATGACAGCCCCAAAATGCTCTTGGCAGTAACAGGATTTGAGCACAATCCAGCCCCTAGCATCTTGTGTGCCCCATGATCCCCCCTTGGTTACCTCATCATAAAGCATCAGCTTGATGTCACAAGGACAGAGACGATAGGTTATGACATTGCTAATACTGCTGATTGGCTGCTTCTCCTTCAACTGGATGTTGCTCCTAGAAGGCATTTCTGCCTCATGATCTGCATCCAAGGGGGGCTGCACCTGCCACTGGTGATTTTCTTCCAGCAGAAACAGCATGCTTTGTGTGCTCAGCAGGGTCACAGGGGAAGCAGATGCCCCTAAAAGGATATGAGAGAATGAGAGGCTTTGCTCAGAGCCTGAGTCACTACAGAACCAGCTTTGCTTTCCACTCGTTCCCAAGGAAAATCCTTTCCAGCAACAGTAACTGGGTGAACAGCAGTATGCAGCTTCCAGACTAAAGAAGGGTATATAAATGTACCTGGGTTCAACCAAGCTCACTGCTAGAGCATGCACACAAAAGGCTGCCACCCAGCTAGCCTTGTCCAGCCAATATTCTCATGTGAGGCAGGAAAAGGAACTTCAGTACTTGGACCTCTTCAACAACCTACTATTCCTTATTTAAAAGTCAGCAGCTCTAGCTAAAAGGCCACCTTTTTTGGACTGAATTTGCCTGCCAGTAGATCTAATGGATGGAACACGGTGTAAATAAAATTAAATACCAAGATGGGACATGTCATAAATACAGCAGAAAGCAGGATAGTTTTGGAGGGAGTATAAGTATCACCCATTTGCTTCCAGTGGATGCAAATGAAAATCACTAGAATCTGGGAGTAAGTCAGATGCACAGAACTGGCTGAGGTAGCAGGGAATCACAAACTGCTACAGCAACATGTTGCTTTTCTTGTCATAGTTCACTCTTGGGAATTAGTAGGAATATCAGAGATGGGATGTTCAGTTAGTCCTCTCTACTTGGCACAAGGCCTCGGCTTGAACTGTGTCCAGTTTGGGGCACTGTACTCTAAAAAAGGAAAAAAAACCTGTTGAGTAACAAAAGCATACTTTTAAATTCTTCTTCTTCCCATCGGCTATTTATTCAGCTTAGATTGAGACTAAGAAACATACTTCTCACTGATTCCTTCTATTTCTCTTTCTCTTATATCTTCCTGGTGGCCAATGGCAAAAGAAGCTGCAAGAGCAGTGACAAAAACAGGGTTTCAAGTTAAGAGGACACTGGAATTGTTCAAGGAATTCTCAAATGCCAAGTATAGCTCACGTGGATGGACATCAGCAAGATCTGGCAAAGAACTGGTGGACTCCAGCAAGCTTCTCTTATTCCATTGTGTAAGAGATTAGACATCTGCTTTTTCCTCACAAACTGAAGAGCCTTTCAGCTCCTGACACCTTGCCAGCTGTGTGTGACCCCTGAGCTCATGGCAGTAATACAATCCTTGGATCACCACCAGCTTCCA